CTGAGGTAAATATGTTGGTGGTGGGGACAAACCATAAGGAAATCAAATAGAGGTGTGACATGGTGGTTAAGCCCCTCTCTTTGGCCTCCTTTGTTGTTTTTATCAGTTTTAACTGATATTGTACAATCAATGACGTCCTTCATAGCAGGAGGTCCAGTGGTCTTCTTCTTGATCCAGATTTTGATGTGTTTCCAGGCCATAAACTTGTTGCCTGCGTAATGTTTGCTGTGGACAATCCCACCTGCCCTGCATCCAGCAGCACCACCAAGAATGATGCTCAACCTCATGCTCATTGGTATATCCCAATTGTGGATCCCATTTGAAGCGAACTTAAAAAGTGTTGCAGTTATCATATGAGTCACAATTACAATTCCAGCTGATGTTCTGGGATACCACTTTCCACATAATAAACCCCCAATTATGACAGTGTCATTGAAATCAGACTCTGTCAACCAGAGAGGTTTTGTAGAGCAAAACCTCCAAGGTTTTGACAAGAACTTAACATGTGATTAGCATATCTAATAAAAAGAATATTACAACTCTATAACTTGAATTTCAAGAGTGTGGAAGAACTAGAACTTGAAGGACTTAGAAAAATAAATATATTACTAATACTAAGTTGCCATGTCAGAATTACAAAAAAAAGTTTTATAAGGCCACCAATTTTTGTTGAAAAGCCCCAACAGATCTCACTCCAAAAAATTGACTTTGGCTGTAAGTCCCTTGCTGGAGTTAGTGGTTAAGTCCAGCGTTGGGACTTGGTTAAGTTTGGGTCCCATGGCTCTTTCCAAGCTCTGAGTAGACTGATATAAAGTTTATATACAATTTCATACACCTAGATGTGCAATAAACACCAGAAATCCCCCTCCATGGCCCCTTTTAGCTCTTATAATCAATTCAGGGTGTGGCCTGGTTGGCTCTGAGTGTTTTCTGGATCAACTCCGGTCTGCCCAACGCGGGGTGATGCCCCGGGGCCGCGCCGTCACACTCAGGGCTGGGTCACAGCACTAGTATGTAAAAGATACAAGTTATTTTACAGTAGACTAGGGCTGTGACCCGGCCCTGAAGTTTCAGGGCCGGCCCCGTGGCTTTTCCCGACCCTGAGTAGACCCGAAGGCATCCAGAAAGTGCTCAGGGCCAACCAAGGCACACCCTGACCTCATTATAGCTGCTAAAACCAGCCAATACAGTGATTATTTTGTTTTTTATTGCAAGTTTATGTGTGTGTGATGGTTTGTAGAAGCTATATGAGCCCACATCAAAATCAAAAAGAGCTGCAGGAGGAATTTTAGAAAGACAGATTTTGTCAACACAGCAAAAGTACAGTGGGCCTTGAGGGGCCCGGCCCCGCCCGAGGCGCCCGCAGGGCTTTTGTGACCTCAATCACGTATGTCAGGGCACGTACCGTGTGCCTCTGGAAAGACGTCGGGCAGACTCGGCCGGCCGGGGCCGGGGCCGGGTCACAGCCCTACAGTAGACATACATGACAAGTTTCACATATCGCACTAGTAATTACTAGTGCGATATGTGAAAGCGAAAGCACTGGGGAAAAAAATCCCGCTGTGTCAAGGTGGAAAGTTTCTCCTTACACACATTTTGAAAGTACAAGCTCGATTTCAAACCTTCAAACCTTCAAGTCAGCACAAAAAGTTTTAGCCGTTGAGAATGACGGACGGAACCGACCAGCCTTCAAAAAAAGTAAGCTCAGACCGTGTCCTATGATGTAGCAACACAAACTGACTGTCCTGAAATCCCTCTAGCGACGTCGGAAATCCTCAGGCAAAGTCAAAGCCGCTGCGAAGGCGGCACAAACTTCTGGTGTCGCGACAGATCCGCCGGACGAGATTGTTTCCGATCAGATACTCGAGGTCAAAAGTCAAGTGAATGGCTCATCGACGCAGAAAAAGACCGATACCCTGCCCACAATCGCTGCCCACACATCCAGTCATCTTCCCGAACAAAAAATACATTCACAAGTTGACCTCAGCGCTGCACCAGGCACCTCAGATCCAACGCATGAATTTACCAAGCTACACAAACCTCACAAGCCATCTGCCAACGTAACCACCGGCGCAGGACGACATCATACTATCAGTATAGCTCTTCCTAGCAGTATCGTCAACAATGCTCAAACTTGGGAGTTGAAGACAGCGTTGGTTGGACAGGTGAGTCATGCTTAGAAAGGTTTTGCAATAACGGTTACTTGACATGTTTCTACCACTTTGGGGTCAGATTGCCAGGGCTTGCGCCATTTTCAGCGTGGACGAGATCGTCATATTCGAAGAAACTTTACCTGCAGATAGCGCAATAGCGCCTTCAAATTATGTTCGTGGAAAATACCGAGACGTCGATGAAGGCCAGCAGAGCGAAGAGCCATTTCAGCCCAGTCAGTTTATGGCTCGTATTCTCGAGTATCTCGAATGTCCCCAGTGAGTTAGCTAATCAATCGATACGACTGAATCCCCCGTACATATGGCTCGATTACCATTCTAAGCTCTTGCATTCGTGCAAGATGACTTTGGCCAGATATCTGCGCAAGTCCTTGTTTCCTTTACATCCAGATCTGCGATTGGCGGGCTTGCTCCCTCCGCTTGATCTTCCCCATCACTTCAGGCGTGATCATCAAACACCTTGGCGGGAGGGATGTGTTCTTCCTCGAGAAAAAGCCGACAATTACCTTGCCGGAAATAAGCCCAATAAAAGAAAGAAAGACGGTCAATCACCAACGGTTTGGGTAGATGTCGGACTCGCTGAACCAGTTGAGGTGAAACTTGACCCTGGTGTTTCTGTACCCGACTGGGCGCGAGTGACTGTCAACCTACCATCTTCACCCGCACGACTCGGTAAATATGCGTCATATCCGATCATTTGTGATTCTATGACCGACGATGTTCGCTGAAGCAGCCTTTCTCCTCATGACTTTAATTCATAGCTCGTATAGTTTCCCCGCGCCAACCGACCGAAACATCTGGAACCTATTGGGGTTATTCAGTTCGCCTCGCGACTAGTATCTCTAAGGTATTCACTGAATCCCCGTATCTCAAGACAGGTGGGTATGATTTGACGATCGGCACAAGTGAGCGAGGCCAGAACATCACCGAAGCGTTACAGGATATGGGTTCTTTCAAGTCAGTTTCATCCCCCACTTCCCTGGGGTCTTCCTATGATGTGGCGGGTTCAAGGTGCCGTAGAACCCGCCTGTCAAGTCGGCAAAGATCTAAGTTTTCACTTCCGCAATCCTGATGACGATACTCACTATTTCTTCACTTATTTGTGGCGTGGCGATCTACGCGCAAATGACAGACATCTGCTGCTAGCTTTCGGAGGATTATCCGGCTTAGAGCTTTGCATCGCCTCCGATGAAACACTGACGCCGAATTTGAGCGCTGAAGATGCCTCACTTTTGTTCGATCACTGGGTCAATACCTTGCCTCACCAAGGTAGTCGAACGGTACGAACGGAAGAGGCACTGTTGGTAAGCTTAGGGGCTATGAGAAGCTTATTTCTCAGGAGTTGAACGAGCTCCTACCATTAGACTGTTGTGTATACACTGGAATAGTAACGCCTGTCCAGCACCGGAAAACACTTTTTGTAATCTGATGTGGTTTTGAAAGACTGGTCGATTTCCCGGGTGTTTAGTACGTTTCTTTTAATCATACTGGCGAAGTGTGAGATGCTCCCGATATCATGTGATCACTCAGAAATCCTGTCTGCAAACTGTTGATCTTGATCACATTCCAAGGATCGCTGCAAAACGATCACTTTCATCTTCCTTGAACATCAGGTAAAACGGTGTCAGTGAAGCTCCTGTTCAATGAGCAGGACAAGTTGAGCCGAACCGTATTTAAAGTCGCAGTCTTCTCGACTCTTAGCTTTACTTTTACCTACTTTAAACGTACCAGCTCTGGTGCCCATCATACCACTACGCAGGCTATCTAGTGTAGCTCCCATCCATCATATTCACTGTCAAGTCATCTCAATCGTCGATCCATGTCGGAACAAAACAGAAATTCATGCGGGCTGCCTCGCAATGAAGTTCGAAGCTTGAGTCTCAAGACTGCTTCTGTCTCCGCAGAAGCTGACTACGGTCCAATGCTTGGGTCTAGGCTTGAAAGCGAGTGTACGGCTCTCATCAATCACGAGGAGCAACCGAGATACAATCATGCTGAGCCCCCCATCTGGCCACGAGTACGTTCTCGAAATTAGAGTGATGCTCATTGGAGGTCTGAACATGTCCAACAGCATCATGACTCTATTGATTCTTCATTTTTCGCCTCCGTTGGCTTGTTGCGCTATACCAGGCGCGAGAGCTCGGGTGGCTGTTTTCCAAAGGAGCCAGATACCCACCCCCCACATTACCTCCTAAGCTTCGAGGACTTCAAGGAGGTGCGTGACGAGATGATATTCAAACTGTCAGAAATGCAATGAGCATCCCCTGACGAACATCATGTTGTGGCTTCTTACAGACCTGGATTCAGCTTGGACAGAGCTAGAACATCAGCACATCACAGCCAATCGATACAATCTGTCGGTCTATAGCCTCAATTGTTCTTTCTCTTTTCTATGACCCGATATGAAGCGAGGATGATTTCTTGTGCAGCAAGACCTCAAAAATTGATCTTTGTTTCCCGTTTTTTCTCTGCAACATCACTTGAACTCCTCACTCGACTGTTTCCCCAGTATATCAACGTGTCTAGCCCTTCTCATCACTACATCCGGTGCAATTACGACGGCAATGGCTCACAGCGTACACTCTGCATCAGCTTCACTGGTTCTTGGTACCACTACCACAATCGCGGGTACCATCATCACAGGTTTGAGGGCCACTGGCCAACCTAAACGAGCTCACGATCGCTGCAAGCGACTTGACAAGATCATCGATCATATCACCCGACTGTACTACGAGTTTGGACAAAACGGACCTACTCATCCCGGTTTAAATGGTTCAGGAGCAGTAGACGAGAATGGAGTGATTGAACGTGCAATCGAAGCAACTTGGAAGATGATTGACGATGAGGAGGCTCAAGCGGAACTCGAAGAACGAAAGTTTGTACCGTTTGGATACTCCACTGGTGGGATGATTCCATCTCCTGTGGATATAGGAGGGAGTGAAGTCTCTAGAGGACTTGGTGGGAATAGTAAGATCAAACTCCTCAACTCATCTCCTACCAGAAGGAATTTACTAGAACAAGGCAGAGGTGGACGTCCGTTATTGAAGAATTTACGATCGGAAAGAAACTCCACCTAGTACAAATTTTCAGGAAAGATGCGATGTGCTTTGATCGTCCTTTCCATTTCGCAATGTTTGTCCATCACCCTACGTGCATGCATTTTGCTCTTCATCATCTTCAATTTTGCTTCTTTGACCATATTTCAGACGCACATTTAAACCTCCTTTTGTGAGGAATTGTATACATGTACTTGCATAATTTTCACAATTTCACCCTTGTTGTGCCATATCTTCTGCATTTGACCAACTCGATGGAGTCCTGAAATACATTTTCTGCTTGTCTGTTGTTGACCTTGATACACTGCGGTTCACGTGAGTATATCTCCAGAACCAATGCGGACAGTTTTATGCTATTTCTTCGAGAACGTTTTTTGGGTGGTGTGCGTCGAGTTTTTTGCTCATACATACATATATCAATTTACGAAAACGTGTTTAGTTCCAAGTATCTTGGTCATCATCCGGGTCAAAGGAGTGTCAGAATGTGAGGAGATCTTTGATCTAGATCTCAATTGAGTATTATCTTGGCCTTACACCTCAGATGCCGCAGCCAGCAGTTACGGATACGGCCTGTGAAGTTATTACTGGGGACTAAACACTAGCTGAGTCAGAGAGGCCATGCTGCCGTCAAATACGCGCAAAACTGGCTAGTTGTTACCACTTCTTTTCGAGTTGTCCGCGCAATGAGAGACGCACGACAGGACCATTGAGGATCATACACCTGACCATGCATTAGCACACCAAGTCGTTCTTGGAGGTTATACATGCTCGCTATAACTTACAAACGAGCGCAGAGGCTAGACGGAGGCAAGATGTTGATGTTCGCCGGGGTGACGCGGGACAGTCTCTAGCGCTTCAAGCTTGGAGGTCATTGACATAGATCAAGATCTGAATCATGACTGACAAAAAACTATGTATCAAGTATTACAAAAACGTAGATAAGCGGGAGAGGTATATGGGTGTAACACCATGGTATGGTTGCCACGCAAAATTAAGAGTGCATGGGTGAGTTGAAGGCGACTTATTCCTTTGCCGCGAAAGGGCGGTTTTGCGAGGCCTTCTGAATCGTACCAGGTTGCCGTGGTATACGTTCGGCGCCATTAAAACCAATTGCGTCTGGATGGCTGGCGTGCTGTCAAAGCGATCACGGGCGGTAATGGCTGGTGTGTCACCTTGATTTCACCGGTCTGCTTCTTTGTCCGCAATGGGGTTCGCGTGAATCGTAACCTACATTGGAGATAGGGTAATAACCAACCCGATCCACATCAATAAGGACTGATTCGACTTGATCTATCGCATTCGATCATCGTCATTTCATCACGACTCACCCCAGTTGTTTTGATCTCCTGCACGGGGCGGTGTTTTTCATTTACGGCTACCTTTTCCATGAGATCGAGTGTACCATTGATAGCCCCGTCGATGACTCTTCCGATGATAGTGTAGTTACCATCAAGGTGAGGCTGCTTGGCATAGAGTATAAAAAATTGGGATCTAGAATGCCATTCGATCAGGACTTCAAGACTACCGAAAAAAGAGAACATGGAATTGCCCTCAACTTGTTTGTATCACGTCCACTGCTTGCCATAGCCACAATTCCACGTTGATTGAACTTTAGTGTTGATCTGATCTCGTCTGCAAACATCTTGCCCCATATCGATTGGCCACCTTTCCCTGTCCCAGTTGGATCACCTGTTTGGCTATATAGAAACGAAACCTTTGATGAATAAATATTACTTCGAATCTACTTTTATATTCAAACTTCTGAATTATACTAACATCATGAATCCCTTGATGTTACGATGCCAGATACAGCCATCATAATATCCCGAGGCACACAGAGCCAAGAAATTCTGAAAGAAAGGCGACATGGCATTATTATTGTGTTCAATGTTCGTTGGAGAAGTTATAAACTTGAGAACAGCAGATAAAGTCCACGCTACCTACTTCAGCTGCCCGAGGAACTGCTTCAGCGAAAATTTCAATCTTTAGATCCCCTAAGTTGGTATGCAAGGTGACGCTCTGATGCAAATTTTGATAAGTCAGATCCGATAAACTTTCACCCGCTCAAAGCTGGATAACTAGTTGAAATGCTGACCATACTCCTTGTTGGAACTGATGAGTGGGTTCAAGTTTCGTAAATTTCGTCAGAAAATCGATAGGCTCAAGTCGTACTTGTTTGAGAAGCCGAGACCAATTAGCGCGCTTGGGTTGTTCAGTGACGATGTATCGGAGGAAAGCTCGATTCTACGAGCAGGTCAATATTCATTCTGGTATCAAAAGTGGTGATGATTTGAGTCGAATCAACTTCGTTCACCAACAGCAGGTCATCCCGAAAGCACTGTTGGGATCGGCCCCGCTCGGGCCACTGCTGACACGAGTTTATTGAGTCCATGGTCCGGCAATCCGGGGCCGGGTTATGTCCTCAAGTGCCTCATACGATGTTTGCTGACCATGAACTATACACCACAAAGACACTTATTTGCGTCAGGGCATCGGGCATGTCCCAAATTGGGGACACGACCAGACATCCACTAACGGGGTGCTGGCTCGACGTCTGGATGCAAATATATCCGCGCCGCATCCTGAAGATGCTCTGGCGTCGTCCCCGCCAGGATGAGATTTGAGCACACTGTGCTCGGATCACCTACGGATGTCCAATCAATGGAACACCCTTACAGCAACCCCTAGACAACCGCTAGCGATCCAATGTCTGTTGGCCATATGATGGAGGCAGGACAGCCACCAGCAGTCTCAAGACTGGGTGCCCAATTAGCACCACAGCAAAGGACCTTGATGAGGAGGACAGTTAAATTTTAAAACTGATTTGGTCAAATGACATCATCATCACATGGTGACTTTGACACTTTGACCTGTACCAAAGCAATCTTCATCCTCCTTCATCTCTCACTTCCTTCTCGTTTCCGTCTTCCACTTTGATCTCGTTCGATCTACATCCCCTTCCCCCTTTCTTTTTCTTCAACTACATTCACACCTAATCCAATCTCCAAAGTCTTAATCTGATTTTCAATCGCATCGGAACATCAACCTTTCCTTCACTCAATTCATTTTTCATAACAATTTCTGAATTCTGTCTAGTAAGACTTTCAACTGATTGGCGATAAACCAACCTTGAGGAAACTTTTTTGAAACTTTTAATGTAGATGAATATGTTTCTTTCAATGCTTCAATAGGCAAATGATGGATATGAACTCCAGAATGATTGATCGTAAGTCTTTTTCTATCTACAGCTGTTTCTTACTCGGGTGTCGTTGTTAATGGAATTGGTCTGCTTTGAATTCCAAACAAGGTATGAAAGTTTGTTATTGATCAATTTACAGAACACGATGAATCCATCAAATCTTACAATTCAAGTCAATGATCGAGAAAAAGACAATTATTCTTATCAGCTTCAGTGATAGATATCATTCTTTTTATCATTTCATCGTTTTATCACTTCTTTGTCTTTATCATCTTTTTGTTTGTATCATTTCATTAAAGTTGGCCATTCAGATTACAAATCTTTTTTATAACAATGCTTAATAGGAAATTTAAATGCACTGTTGTTGATCAAAACAAATCTGAAATAAACGAACTGAAACCCAACCCGTAGCTTTCTTCAGGACAACCTACATAAGTCCAGGGAAATATTGAGAAGTCATTGACCCTCACGACAAACCTCGAGGGATGTCAGATGGATGTCCGTTTGCGGGTCCTGGGCAGCCCGATGGGCTCTGCTCAGGTGTCTGAACGTCGGAATCCGACGGACGTTTCTCGGTGTGCTGTGGGGGGACGTCCGTCCCCCACCAAGCAAACTCGGACATCCGTTGGACATCCAAGTGTCCTTGTGGTGTAGATTCACAGGGGAGATATAAAAGGAGATGAACTGGGTTTTCTTGTGAGTCAAGTTAATTGGCATGTGTGGCATGCAGATGAGCTAGCCCTGGCACATCCACACTGGGCCACAGCACACCTTAGAAAGCCAAGATACTCAGTCTCATCCACATAACCTTTCTCTTGTATAGTGTTTGTTTCTACTCCCTGAGAGCAAAGCCTCAATTTTTGGAGAGTTGAGTGTATGCATGAACTTGGATTTTTGTCTTTGTTACACAAAAAATACTCTAGGTCACTGGGACTCTCTTCAATTTAACATCCTTCCAACAAATGACATCTTTACCCAGGGGTATAGAAAAGTAGTGTGGGCATAGAAAACTATTGGTAGGGTACTTTTCTATACCAATAAAAAATGCTTTTGATACACCTATGTAAGATGTTTGAGATTGAGAAATTGAGCATTCTCTTTGCGCTGACTCAGCTGTATGTAGTGGGAACCAAAGGCAGTTCTACAGTGCGTAGAATCTCAATCTTCTGTTTTTTGATATATTTATCCCAAAATACAATTCTATGCTGATAAAAGAGATCCTCAACCATGTTCAGCAATGTACACCCACTTCGGTAACCGGTGTGTGACGTGTGCAACCGACTGCGCACCACCAACAAGCTGCACTGATTTTCGGTTGCATATGTCACCCGAAAATCTTGTTTGGTAAACAAAAATGCAACAAAAGAGATACGCGGATTTCTGCACATATGTGCAAAAATTGTGCGCATTCTTGAAAACGACTAAAAGTTGAATATTTTCAAATGAATGCAACTGCGACCTCTCGCATCACTCTCTTCTGATCAACGTATTACTTGATTTTCTCGTACTTGTCCGTTTTGTATCGCTTATCACGACCAACATCATCTCATCCTCACCTCAACCTCAATCACTCTCAAACTTTCCAAATTCAAAACCTGTCAAACTCATCAACTATCTGCTTCTTGACCATCCAACCTAACTTTTTGTGATTCAACTTTTCATTTCAACTGTGTTCCATTTTTCATTGAAACTTATTGAATTCAAATTTCATCGCAATCATCACGTTCAAAAGTTTAAAATGTTCATAAAAGAACTGAAGTCTACAAGCAAGAGCTGGTACAATGATAAGTTGAGAGTGATGATTGGAGAGTGAGATTTGGTTGATCATTGAACTTGATGAAGCCAATGATCTTGTTTACCAACTTGTAACAGACATCATTGTAATCAATGGTCTTGAGAAGTTGATCACATTTCACTTTCTATCTGGTTACCAAACGTCTCCAGCAATCAAACTCTTGTGTGATTTTACATATACATACACGGTGAGAATTTTTCTCACCGTGATGTAAAAGTTGCATTAGATTATTAATGCAACTTTTTTTTACCAAAGTGGGTGGTATGTGAGTATGTATGCACAATCTTACACAGATTGACGGACACTTTTTACATATGTACAATATGACTGATGGACTGTGCTTTCCCATTGGCCAAGACTCAAGAAGGGCTTTGATTCTAGATTGCTATTCAGTCCTTGTGGTCATGTGAATATTTTCAACTGTAGGTATAGGGTAGAATGGTCTGTCTAGGCATAGAGGATACTATCTCTATGGGTATAGAAAAGTACTTCACCCATAGTTTTCTATGCTCACACTACTTTTCTATACCCCTGGGTAAAGATGTCATTTGGTGTAGTGTATATACTACTTGGGCTGGCTTTGGGACAGGGTGCCATGTCCCACTGTGCTGAGTTTAACAGAATACCTTGAGCTAAGTAATGATTATGTATATGAACTATACCTCTTACATATTTGTCAAGTGGGATGAGTTGGTTGCTATGGTAAAAAGATGTGTCAATAGGTGCTATCAAAGGCCTTTTCATAAGATAAACTAGGACTTTGTTTGGAGAGAACTGTAAGTCCAGTATTTTGATTGTGTGGGTATTTATTGATTCTTAAACTTTGTTCTGTCAAGAAGCTGATCTTTCAGGGGGATTAGGATGATAATGCTTGTAACTTCTAACTAGGTTTGTTATATGTGATCACCATGTGCATTCCCCTGTTGATCAGGCTGAAGCTTACAAATTGAAGAAAGTTGAAATGTTTGAGGGGGTGCATGATTAATGAGACTAGGTTGGGAAAATACAAGTTTGATGGGGTCAACATACTCTTGGAATTCAAGTGCAATGAAACTTGATGAGATATACTTGTAATCTAGAGAATAGATGAATCTCAATTGACTTCAGTCATACAGTCAATTAACATCTGGAATCCAGTGTACTTTGTGGTCACTCCATGAACTGGCTGGTATAGAAAACATACCTGGCTGGCTATCAACTTGGTGGACCAAGACGCAGCCAGATATCAGAGGATACGGGTCCTTGAGGACTTTTTTGTGGAGGTCTGAGTGTAATACCTATCTAATTTGGAGTACAATATGACCTATATCAACACATTCAATAGCTTTTTTGGTCACCAAAGATACCTGTCTATCCCATTGGAGTTGCAGAGCATGGTGGCTTTGGTATGAGAGATGTACAGGGAATGACTATGAAAAGACAAGCTTTTGTTGGCAAAAATAAACAAAACATCATCTTGGGTGGCTGTGTCATGGTGACTAGACCATTTGACATCCTATCCTTGCTCAATCTCATTGATTCTTCACTCAAAAAAATGATTGACCTTTATAAATATTCCTCCCTCTTTTGCGCTCTCATATGATCCCATTGGATCCACACCATACATAGTCCCATCAATCTCCCAAAACTTTCAGTGTTTTGTTTGTTTTGTAAGTGATTGTGATGGTTAAACGAATAATTGAAAGTGTCCAGGGGTTTTATTTTATCTACATCAGAGTTGGAAGGCTGATGCAATATATGCAAAAGACCTCTCAAGATCTTGTAGCTCATTTGGTGTCAGATCTTTCATACCCAAGAGCAAGACACTAGCCACTTGATAAGATGCTAATGTGTAAATTGTAATCATGTAGGTCTTTTATGCTCATGGAAATCAGGTCAATCATAACTTTGAGGTGGGTTCTTTATAAGATTTGTTGAGTTGAGTTGTCTGGTGGATGATTGTAAAACTGAGTCAAGAGTTAAAACCTCTTGAGCTGTTCTTTTTGGTTATGTATGCGCAAAGTGTGATGCACTGATGATAAGCTGAGCCTGTATGTTGTGAGTTTCATTCCCGGGTTTTCTAAACTCAAAATAAATATAAAACTTCAAACTCAAACTTCTTAACCATGTCTTCTCGCCTTCGTCTTCACCCTCGAATTCTTCAATCTTCTTTTCATCTTCATCCTTCATCAACACTACGTCCTTACGTCTCGAAAACTTTACCATCACGCTCCAGCCCGCGTCATCTCTGTTTTACTTTTGTCCGTTGTCTGACCTATACAACCCCTCAGCGTAGTTCAATTCTACCTGGTCATGCTATCAAACCATTCCTGTTGGCCGATATTGGGGAAGGAATCACTGGTTGTGAGATTGTGAAATGGTATAACTCTTTTTTTTCTATATGTCTGCAAGATTTGACTTTGTCTGATTTCTTGCATCCGTTCCTATTAGGTTGGTAGCACCAGGTCAAGATGTCGCAGAATTCGATCCAATTTGTGAGGTACAGTCTGATAAAGCGACAGTCGAGATCACAAGCCCTTTCGAGGGTACTATTCATCAAATGTTCGGTGCTGTTGGCGAGGTCGTCAAAGTCGGCCACCCCCTTTGCGAGATCGTAGTGAAACAGGAGGGCGAAACTGTCACACCACCTGATACTCAGTCCAATGTTGTGGAACCCAGGGTAGAACCAATTGAACCACAGCTACATCTGAACATACCGATTACGACGACCCAGCCTCGTCTAGTTCACTCAACGCCTGCCGTAAGGCGTCTCGCCAAGGAGCACAGCATCAATATCGAGGCTATCACTGGCACCGGAAAGGACCAGCGGGTCACAAAGGAGGATGTGCTTCTATACATTTCTCGTCTAGCCACATCATCACACGAGTCCTCCTCTACTCCTTTGGAATCTACCGAACTTCCAACACCCTCCACAGCTGGGAGTGTACGAGTACCCTTCAATGACGTTCGACATGCGATGTTTAGAAGCATGTCTAAAGCTCTCAAAATCCCCCACTTTGGCTACTCAGAACAAATTGATGTCACCGAACTTGAAAGAGTGAGACTTGAGCTGAATAGCTCCAACGCTGAACCCAACACGAAACCTCGCCTGACACTATTCAGCTTGTTGATCAAAGCCATGGGACATGCCCTTCGATCAGAGCCCATTTTTCGTTCTACGCTTGGCGAACCACCTTGCTTCGTTCAACGTCAAGCTGCGGATATCTCAATCGCTCTCAGTAGTCCACAGGGTCTTCTTACTCCCTTGATTCCTAATGTGGAACAGAAGACCGTTTATGAGATCGCTGATCACGTTCGTCGACTGCGGAAGTTTGTTGATACGATGGCAGATACCACTCGGCTGCCAGTTTTTCCTGAAGAGCTCGGTGGGAATCGGCCTGGGACGTTCACGCTGAGTAACATCGGAGTCATTGGTGGCAGTTGAGTGCCGTTTTTTTACCCAAACAACCATCACATTTGGAGCTTGAGATGGATGTGAAAAAGCTGACAAAGTGCTCGGCTGCCATTCTAGCTTACACCTATCCAGTCATTCCCCCAACGGGTCAGCTAGGCATCGGAGCGTTTGGGAAAGTACAAGTCTTACCGGGTTATCGACCAACAGATATGGCCTTAGCATCAGCAATAGCCCGTGGTCTCAGTCGTGACCCATGTCCTCAACCTGAACCACGACTGATGTTATTTGCAAGTTTTTCGGCTGATCATCGAGCAGTAGAGGGAGTAGAACTAGCACGATTAGTTCAAAGACTCAAAGTGATCTGTGAACAACCTTCGAACTTCATAGGTCTTGGAATCTGATCACCTTAAAGAGACAACCTTGGAATGACTCCTCACAATATGTATTGCCATATCACTGTCTGAGTGTGGGTGTTGTGTCTTGATAAATCGTTTATTTGTATAAAAAGTATTGCCGATATGTCCTGCAGTTGTTGTGATTTTTGTGATTTTTTTATTTGATCAATCTTGGTGCAAGTACTTTTTTATTTCTTATAGCAATCACCTTTTGTGAGAAATGATGGCAATGTGATTTGAACTTTATTTCCTCTTTCTTTTCCCCTTGCGCACAACTAAGAGACATTGCAGGAATTATGAAAGTAATGATTGTTCAGGTTTCTTTCATGGGGTTGATCAACTATGTGTTGTGTGGTGCTTTATCAGCGGGATACATAATGTATTTTAATCAAAAGTGACTTTATTTGTGTTTGAGAATAGGAGAGTTGAAAAATTGCGTTCATGTCAGCGCTGACAATAGTGTTTCAGGGGCATCTGCTTGAAGGTGCAAGTCCGACTCCTCCTCACAATACCAAAGAACAATTCAGGGGGTGGAATGGTGAAATTACTCCTCGCTGCATGGTTACAAAAGTCGAGCCTTTCTTTTCCATATCAAGCAACGAGAGGAGGTGATATGTAGACTGACCGACATCCAGGTTCAACCAATTCTGATCGACGCCCAAGTTTACATGACGTAGAACGTGTAATGCATACAATGACACAGCTTCTGTATTGCAGAGCTTATCGATTTGGTCACCATGAGACTCAGAGTTTACCACTATGTAGTAGGAATCTCTTTGTTCATTTTACAAACAAAGCACTTTACTCAAAGTCAGTGCTGAACTCAATCCCAAGATAACACTTACCAATTCCGACTTGTCAATCATCATTCTCATCTCATTCTCATTCACCTTTTTTTTAAATCTTTAACAAACTCTCAACTTCAAACCCAATCACAATGGAAGCCAAATTAGCACGTGCATCTCATCGTCATCGTCAATTGGCCATTCATCACATCGAACGTCAAAGGGCAGCAGCCATCAAATTACAACCTAATAGTAACATCACTCTTCCATATCATCATATTCAATCTAGTTCAAAGGAAGATAAGATTGCTGCTTTACGACATCGACGTATGAAAGCTGCATCTGTTGAAGATTCAAATCTTATTGCTTGTGATCGACCTGTTCGTCCAGTCATCGATACTAATTCGAATGATATGAATCCAGATCAGTCTGAAGAAACGGAAATTTTGAATGAACAAGTTAACTGGAGAGCTGCTGTGTCTTTAGAAGAAGTGATGGTAGAGAAGCGACCAGCCAAGAATCGAATTGGTAAGCTTGATCAGAACTGCATCATGAATGGATACTTTTTAAATCATCACTTCGAGAAACTAATCAATGATTTTTTTTAATCCTTTGTTTATCTCTAGACTCCTTTGAACTAGTTTGTCCACCAATCTCTCGAGTGATAGCTTTATCAGATGAACCATCCACATCTGATTTTCCACAAGAAGGAATAGAAGAAGATGAAGGATGGGAAAGGATTGGAATTGATGGAGAACTTGAACTTGATCATGAAACCGAAGTGGAAGTTCCTACCACTCGATCTTGGGTTGGTGTGGTACTTGGATTAGAAGAGAAACCTAAAGGATCAGAGAAGTTTGGAATTTAATTGAAGATTTAGGATTAGGAGTTGATGTTTCTGTTACGCAGTCTTTTGTCTCGATTTGAAGACGGTGCTTGTTCTTGGTCATATTTATTCTTAACAGATAAGGTTCAAAGGTTTCAGTCTTGAAGTCTTTGTGGAACAGGAAATTTGGAATCTGGAGATCCAAAAGCTTTTCCTCTCATCTTTTCTTTTGGTTATCTTTTCTTTTGGTTGTCTTCAATTTGTATTTTGTATCATATTATATAAGACTCACAAGATATATAGAAGCAAAGTTGACTCCTATTAGTGTCATCTGCCTTTTGTTTTCTTCATATAACTTCAGGGTTTCTTTGTAAGTTGTATCATCAGTATTGCAACCTTATAAGTTGTTTGTTTTTTACTTGACATCAATCAAATCAAACTCTCAATGTATTGTCTCTTGCTTATTTACACCTTGTTTTGTTGCTCCGCTTGTTTAAGTTGGATTAGAAGAATATACAAATTTCAACTTTTTCATCGATTCTAAACTGCTACTGCCCACAATCCAGTCACATCATATGTCTTTCATGCTCGGAACCCATGACTTTCCTGATCATGATCAAAATTAAATTAAGCAAATCGTCCACTCTCATCTAGAATTGTGGATCAAATGAACAAGCATATTATTATGCGGCCTAAGCTCATAGAACATGGTCACCGATCTCTTGACTCTTCAAGCTCTGATGTCACATCACTTCTTCCCAACCAACCAGATTAAGTTCAGGAAATTGATGATCGATTTGAAAGAAAAAGGTCATGCGCTTAACGACTTTATCGATTCACATCCTTTGGGAACCAGGCTCTTGGCTCTTGGCATGAGGGAGCGAAAGCACATGATGAAGCAAGAAGCAAAAGGAATTCCGAACACGGGAATCGAACCCGTCTCTGCCGCGCACACCCGGGAAGATGAGAGGCGGCCATACTAGCCGATATACGAGCTCGGATTAGCGTGAGAGACCAGTTTTGGTTCCATAACTGGAAAGGAATTGCGGAGCGAAAAGTAGAACTGGACATAGAGCGGGTTGAGGATGTTTGCGTGATAAAAAGTGGGTTGATCAAGATGTCTGATGAAGGTCAAGGAGTATCCAATCTGATCAACGTCTATACGAGGTTCCAGACCCATGGCCGGTCGGCGATTGAAGAGACTAAGCAGAGCAGGCGGTTTGAGTATTTGAAGCGAGTTGCATTGAAAATGGCCTCCCGATGAAATTCTACTGGCATCAGATTGGAAAGAAAATAGGAAGTGATCTGGTATCGAATAGGCGAATGAGAGAAAAAGATCAAGGTCATGGGTCTGTGCTCGATTGGATTATGTGTTGCATTTGAAATATGACCTAGGATTGAGCTTAAGTTTGGATTTGCTGAAATGCTCAGGACAAAACAGCGAGCACGTGCCACCACCCATCATCTCACAGCTATAAAATCAGTAGCACCTGTCAAAGGTAAACAAGCAACCAATCATCTTCCCTTCTTCAATCCAATCATTTAACTGATTGATCTTCAGGTCGGTTGATTCTCACTCATTACCTCGGTTCTACCTAATCAACTTGAATCTACATCTCGCTTACTATTTTCGTCTTCCTTGCACTTACGATCCTCCTCTTTACCTTTCAGAAGTCTTATTGGCTATATCTTACCGCTTGTCGGCCCTCTTTCGATCCACTTCGCATGTTCTCAAACGGACTGTCAAGGTCCGTTATTCTGTGCCTTTTACCACCTATCCTACAATCGAACTGACCTGTCCATTCTATCCTCACCGCAATGTCTTCTTCCCCATAATGCAATCTAAACAGTTCCCACAACAGACACAACTCGTAATACACATTTTTCTTCAGCAGACCATCTTATTCATCCGATTGCTTGTCAACCTACTAATACCTTTCCTACATCTTTTATCAGGGGCCGCAAACTTTGTGCACCGGGTCTAGACAGACAAACATCCTAATTACTTCACATTTCATCAAACTTTCAACTTCAAACCAATCTTACCATGACTTCATCAATCTCTCACACCAACGGGCACTCCGCCGCAACCCATCAAAACGGTAACGGTGCTGAACACACCTCTGCTGCTATTCCGATAGTCGATCCTACTGCGATGAGACGCCCAGTCGACTCGGTCAATGTTAAAAGCGAGCACACAAATTATTCTGTTTGTTGACATCTTTTCTGTCTCAAGTCGATTGCGCAAAACCTTCTATTTGGAGACTGATTGGATCTTTTACCGCTATAGGATTCTCACATATATTCAACTTATGAGCACCAAAATGCCCATGTCACCCGTACCGCTGATGGCAAGTACGAAGTTACTCCCATGAAGGAGACGATCGAGTTCAAGACCGAACGGAAGGTGCCTAAAACTGGGTAAGTCTTCAATTCATAATTGATATCAATCGCTCCTTGACTCATCAAGTTCTCTCTGCTTGGACAGTCTGATGCTTGTCGGATGGGGCGGTAATAATGGAACTACCCTCACTGCTACCTGGCTTGCCAACAAGCACAACATCAGCTGGCATACCCGTGAGGGCGTACAAACCCCGAACTACATTGGTAGTCTGGTCCGAGCCTCTACTTGTGAGTTATCTTTGCGACCGCTGTGTTTTTTGCCCTGGTAGCTAATCCAGTTCTGCTTCTGAATTTCAGTGAGACTCGGTGTTGATGCCGAAACCGGTAAAGATGTCCATATCCCAATGTGCGATATGCTCCCAATGGTACATCCCAACGACTTAGTCATTGGTGGCTGGGACATCAGCGGAATGCCAATGGACCAAGCTATGAGACGTGCCAAGGTGATGGAGTGGGACTTACAACAACAACTCCAACCTCTTATGAGTCAGATGGTCCCATTGCCCTCCATCTATTACCCTGATTTGTACGTCCTATGGCTTCGATATACGATCTTTTCCCCTTTGCTCAAACTTGAATTACGTTCCCTTTTCTTTTGTAGTATCAACGCCAACCAAGAAGACCGAGCTGATAACGTGCTACCAGGTGATAACAAACAAGCTCATCTAGATAAAATTCGTAGCGACATTCGAGAATTCAAGACTGCTAATGATCTCGACAAGGTCATTGTCCTCTGGACTGCCAATACCGAACGATACTCGGAATTAATTCCGGGTGTCAACGACACCGCCAGCAACTTGGAGCAAGCGGTGGCACAAAACCATGACGAAGTTTCTCCCTCGACCGTCTTTGCGATGGCTTGTATCTATGAAGGCGTGCCTTACATCAATGGTGCCCCTCAAAATACGTTTGTGCCGGGTTGTATGGAGTTGGCGGAGCAGTATGGTGGCTTTATTGGTGGTGACGACTTCAAGTCTGGTCAGACGAAGATCAAGAGTTGCCTAGCAGAATTCTTGGTGAACAGTGGGATCAAGCCTCTCAGCATTGCTTCGTACAACCATCTGGTTAGTTTTTTTTGTATTGAACCTGATATCGATCTGTGAATAAGAGGCTGAGATAACCTCATCGCGCTTTTCAGGGTAACAACGACGGCAGAAACTTGAATGCTCAGAAGACTTTCCGCAGTAAGGAGATCAGTAAAAGTAGTGTGGTGGATGATATGGTGGAAGCCAACCACTTGCTTTACAAACCGCTACTCGAAGCACCCAAGGGTGAAAAGATGATCGAGGGTGGAAAGCAAGGTCGCAAGACCGAACACCCGGACCATTGTGTGGTCATTAAATATATGCCTGCCGTCGGAGATGATAAAGTAGCCCTCGATGAGTATTATAGTGAGCTAGCAATGTACGTATAGACTTGATTCATCAGTTCTCTTGGGTATAGGTACTGATTTGTTTTTCTTCAGGGGTGGGCGCAACAAGCTTGTGATCTCGAACACTTGCCAAGACTCGTTACTTGCTATTCCACTGATCTTTGATCTCGTCATTCTTACTGAACTTTTAACCCGAGTTCAATGTCGTAAGCAAAAGACTGAGGGTGAATCGAAATATGAAAACGTTTACTGCGTTTTGTCTTTGTTAAGCTCAATGCTCAGTAAGTTTTTTCATCTTACATCCAATTACTTCTCACCCTGTCTGATAAATTCTTTCCTTCTGCAGAGGCTCCATTAGTAAAGCCCGGAACGGATGTGGTTAATGGGGCAGCCAGACAAAGAGCTGCTATTGATCATTTCTTGAGAGCCTTGATTGGATTACCAGCCTTAACGGAATGGGAGCAATCCAAGGTGTTGATCTCTTGATTGTTTCCTTTGATAGTTTTTCTTTTTTATACATCACAGAAACAAAACTTGTTCTGTTGTGAGCGTTCAGTGTCTCTGTTGTTCACAAGCTACCTGTGATGATCACTTTTTCTATCCGTGCTATCAACTTTTTTTATCCCGTCTTTTCGTGTAGTTTTGATGCATTATGATTAATGTTAACAAAGCAAATGAAACCTCAAACCTGCCCCATGCACATGATTGTCTCTGCTATCTCTAGTGCGGCCCTCAATGGTACAGCAAACTAAACTGGTTCCAACAGTCATGCAAATGGATGCAGCTTCAGGAGTAACTAATTGGAAATCTCACTACTTGGGAGTTGGACTAATCTCGGTTGAGCACACATCTTGATTGTCTCAAACAAGGCATGTACACTTTCACAAAAATGGGGCAGGCGATCAGTACCATGTCTCCATTTTCACTATCCAGAACTTTTTAATTTCAAGATTGATTCTGCCATGTGTGGTTCAAGTTGGACAAAGCAAAAGCGTTTAAATCGCAACTTTGGTAAATCCACTGAAATCCTTTGTGTGTAGGATTTCAAAAGCAAGGAAAGAAAGAACAAAGTTGTAGTACATATATCTGCTCTATTCCAATTTTGTTTTCCAGGGGTCTTCTATTGGAATTGACAAATGTCATCAGAATCCAGATAGTAAATGTGCTGGCCAAATGGTTGGAGTTGGTCAACAGGCCAAATTTGGATGTAATGCAACCCTTTTCATCTCAGGTCAGGTCATTCCTTGAATTCTGAACCAGAAACCCCCTGAGGTGTAGACTCTTTTACTTGCTTTTTCTTTGACTAATTGATCTTCACTTTTGGCTTGTTGGTTGTAATCCAAAGTTGAAATATTGATATGTGAGTTTTTATTAACCGACTTCATGTCCTTCAAGATGGGCTTCAAGGAAGGTAACTTTTCCCTTCATTGCTAGTCAATCAATCATTTTCTTTGGATTCACATGTCTCTTCAGTCAATCAATATCTCTGATCATCTTTGGAGAATCCTATCTGTATCAAGTTGTCCATGGTTGAGGGATTGAGTTTATACTGGAATGGGCAGAGGGAACCCATTTTAGAGGTGCACCTAGATGTGTTTCTTGAATCACTGTCACACCTAGAAGTATGCTTTTGCAGATCAAAATAAGCTGTGTTTGATCATAAAATGTGCAATGTTGATGGATGGGACCGATTTTAATTCATCAAAACATGTACAATAAAAGAAAAAGTAGCCAAGCCAACTTTTTTCAAGTTTGTAGCCCCAGAAGCAACACTGAAATTGCTCCACTACACTATGAGTCTTTGCCAATTTTATTACAGAGCAGAGTTTCCACTATGATTAATCATGCTACAATGTGATTCCATTTCACTCTTGGGCTACTGTGTAGTCCTGTAGTCTGGGGCCAAGTGCCCCGGTGCCCGGGGCTCTAACTGGATGTGGTGAAAACGTCACCCAAAGTACCTTCCTTACTCGAAGTCAAGAAGGTACGGGTTTGGGGGGTGCAGGGCCCCGGCCTGGCCTTGGTCTCGCGAAACCAAGTGGTTTGGTTTTCTCGGACAAATGGTCAGGTCGGGGTCCTCCATGGGTCGGTGGGTGGGACGTTTGCTGGGTGGGTGGGGTGGTAGCAAAAACTGAGAATCTCACCAACGTGTGATGACTCGTGTGAGATTATTGGAAACTTGAGATGGGTTGATCTGTAGTGATCACAGTGAAAGAGGGTGAGGGAGATCGAACAGGTATCGCACGCCAAATTTTTGGCCGAGAGATTTGAAATCTCTTCGCCATGCAAACCTTTCACTACCTCACCTTTCACAGGTCGCCCTCCCAAGTTTCCATGGACGGTAGAACCACCTGTGTTATGGTGGTTCAGGTCATCCATTTCACTCTTGGGCTACTGTGTAGTCCTGTAGTCTGGGGCCAAGTGCCCCGGTGCCCGGGGCTCTAACTGGATGTGGCGAAAACGTCACCCAAAGTACCTTCCTTACTCGAAGTCAAGAAGGTACGGGTTTGGGGGGTGCAGGGCCCCGGCCTGGCCTTGGTCTCGCAAAACCAAGTGGTTTGGTTTTCTCGGACAAATGGTCAGGTCGGGGTCCTCCATCTCGACCCCCCCCCTCCCTCCAGTCGAGAGTCAGCATGCCTATGCGGGGCGCGCCCTGGGAACCCTCACTCGGATGCCTCGCCGAGCGCCTACGAGCCACCCAGGCCCGCCCCACTCTCGCTCGACCGGTTTGGCAGCCGCTATCTTCTGAGAATTAAGGTTTGTTCTCACATCTTCCTAAACGCCATTGATCGATCTTCCTTACACCACCGTCACTCGCATAGCCTGATGCGACTATATCTTAATACTCACATGGGACGTCAGGACGTATCAGTTTCTCCGGAGGGTCTCAATCAGTACTTTCGCCGTAAAGGCTTCTTTGTACGCTAGGTCTCAATCAATTTCATTTTCTCGGGCCAACTCTTGTCCTCGATTGCCTCGAGAAATCTTCGTGCGTCTAATGTCTCTTCCTCTGTATATGGCACTAGATAACGTAAATATGCTAACGATGTCCATCTCCCCTAACGTGCGATCTTCTCCATCTTGACTCCTAGGTTGAATCTTAGGGATGCCCCTCCCACTCGGAAGGAGTGTCCCGTCCACGACGTTGGGCTTGCCAGTCCCCATACCTTTCCTACCGCATTTAGAAAACGTGTCTTCGATAGTGGTTTGAGTACGCCTTTCTCTGTTGTCGAAAATAAGATCGTATCCGGGTCCTGACGTGGGTGCCTATCCATCCACCGTTTTAGAGCAATGACTGGGTTGAGGATATTCAGTTGTTGTTGTAGATGTATGACCTGAATCTCGCCTGGCTTGGCGGTTTTAGCCTTTCTTAGGTGTAGTTTCGCAAAGTTGGTTCCTTTGTAGGATCCAAACTCCACATGCCTGCGAAGTAACGCTCCACTCTCAATTGTTGTCCTCGTCAGCTCGCCCAGTCTTGCCATACCCCAATAGGCGATTATCCCAATCGTTCCCACCAGTTGTTCTGTTTCGGAGCCGTTGTAAGTTTCCCGGAAGAGGTTGAAAATCTGTCTTATCATTATCGGCCGTTTTAAGGTTACTAACGACTTCTCTTCTTCCTTACGTTTCGTCGCTGTTAACAAGGTTTTCACGACCTCGTGGTCTGCTGTTGGTCTAGAGGTGTGACGGACGATATGCCAGGCCCGAATTCCGTCGAGGTATTTCTTGACGGTTACTGAGCTAATAGGTCTGTCCGGTCCATCTGGTGCCTCCTCCTTTGACGTTCTGGCCCATGCCACGAAGTCGTATATTTCTTTGTCCGTGATTTTATGGTCTGGGTTGAAGGATCCTGCTGATTTCTCCTTAAATTCCTTGAACTTAGACACCCCGGAACTATAACCTGCCAACGTGGTTCTGGCCCAGCTTCCCGATGCCGCATGGCGACCTGCCCTTGATGCGTTTGCCGAAGCGTCGATGAAATGGCGGGGTAAGTTCGACATTGCTAAGCCCAGTCAGTGAGGTTGGTGGCTTTGGTGGAGGAGCCCTTACGTTTAACGTTCCTGAATCATCCGACTCTCTAAATCTCTCGGCATCTGAATGTATACCATATCTGACACGCGTTTCTTCGAGTCAAACCCCCTCGACAGCCTGTCCGCAGCGTTATCCTCGGACGTCACTCTTCGAACCTCGATGCACGCTTGATCCTGTAGGAGCAGGCGTTGCAATTTTCGCCATTCGTCGTTTACTGCTCGGTCCCTGGACTTGCCATTTCGAATGGCATTTTCTGTTACGGTGTTGTCCGTGAGCATGAGGAACCGTCTCCCCCCTACCGACCTCAAACTCTTCAGTAACAAGTATCCTAAACGCACCGCGGCTGTCTCTGCCCATGCGATGCCGCGTTGCAGACCGTCTCTTGATGGGTCATTCCAGCCAGATCTAAGGCGGAACTTGGCCCACTTCTTACCCACGATCACTCCGACTCCGTACGAGGTCAACGCGTCGCCTACCCAGCCGACGTTCAAGATTTCCGTCCGGGGAATGAGTCGTTTTGGCGTCGCTAGCGTGAGTGCCTTGCGCCATTCCACCAGGTCCTCTCGAACGCATGCTGGGGTTTCTCGCCGTGCTGACCTATGTACCCACTCCGCCATGTGGTGGTGAATATCTACGCAGTAGGTTTTCATTTGCGGGAGGACCATTGCCGTGTGAGCCAACTTCCCTGCTAAACGTTGTACTTCTTTAAAGGTGTGGGTCCTTGATGATAGGAAGGTGTTGATCTCAGCTAATTGTTCTTGAACTTTCTCTCGTGGTAATCGCACCGTTTTCTCGACTCCGTTCCAGATAAATCCGAGGTAACGCTGTTCCTCTGCGAAATCTTGTGCTTTCTCCACATTTTCGACGACGCCCATCCTCTGGCTCAAGGCCGATATTTCTGCGAGGGTCACTGGAGACCTTGTGTGTTTAGGACGCACGAACACCGTGTCGTCCACCCATCTGAAAGCAGCGGACAGTGGGAAGTTAGCAAGCACAATCGCTTTCCAGGTATCTGCCACCTGGCCAAATACCCCGCATCCTGCCACTCCGCCGAATGTGATGCGTGTGTCCAGCAACACTCGGTCGTCGAATGTTCGTATCATCAAGAATTTCCACTGGGTCGGGTCTGTGGGTATCTGGCGATAGGCTTTCGCCCAGTCGTAAATCGCTAATAAAAGTTCTTCTGGCGTCGAGCACAGGAACTCTGCTACTACGTGGAAACTATCCCAGGTAGTTTCGAAATCGACTTTATTGACACCTTCGTTCACGGATACAATCTCGGGGTCAATTCGAGGGAATGAAAGGTCATTTATCGGCCTCGTGGACCCATTTCCGTTCACCACTGCACCGATGGGGCTTGTTCGGAAGAATCCTATTCTCGCATATACCTCGCTTTTAGAGAAGGGACCTGCCATTCGTCCTGCGGCGAGTTCCACCTCAAAGTTCTCCAGGATCTTCCCTCTGGCTGCTTCTGCGGATGAATGATTTGGGGGGCAAAAGTATGGCACACCTGGGACCTCAGCGTGGTGGATACCTTGGTCGAAACCATGTTTCAGGCCATGCAAGATATGCCTATGCGTCTCTAGGAGGCCTGCCTTCTCTAGTTCTTCTTGCCAGACCAGTAAATTCATCTCACAGGTGGCCTCAGTTGGCCATCTCCTAGGATCATGATTGGGCCTCCTTTGTGGGCTAGGTCGAGTCGTCAATAACCTTTGGGGATAGCGGAATGAAATGACAAGACAGAACCACGGGTTATGAGGGGAGGGTAAGTCTCACTTCACACGCTCTCAACGCTCAGGGGAGGGGGGGGGGGCAACTACTCCTCGGAATTTGGGCAAGGCCTGGTTGCAATAGCGATATTCATATGCATTTCATGACGTTGGCTTACGCATATCTCCCCTTTCCTCTGCCTTTCTTGCCCCTAGGGCTGCGGCTTCTCGATGGGCTTCGTTTCTTGTACTTGCCCCTATCATCGCGCTGCGCACGGCCTCGGTCATAATCTCTTTGGTTGTAGTCACTCTCTCGAAGTCTGTCGCGGTAACTCTCGCGGTCCTCATAGGCGCTCCGTCCTCCGGGCTCCTTCAAGCGTCTCGCTGTCGCGTCTTTCCTCTCTGACTCTGACATCAGCTTCCAGCAATGGGACGGGATCCACGACTCGTTGTCTCTGGGACGCTCTCGGTCTGTTTGACGGTAGGATGATGTAGTTGTTGGGGTCTTCTTCGAGGATGCGTTTGACAATGTGGATCGGGGCAGGCCTGTCAGAGGGTTCAGGTGTGCTAGGACTCCGCCTGGTGCGTATGGATTTGTGCGATAAGCTTTTTCTTGGTACGCATCTGCCGCCAACTTCGCGTCCTCGAGAATTGCTGTCTGAAGCTTGCTAAAGTTTTTGATCCGATTATCTATAGTTTCCCGCATCACCCCTTGTCGTAAGCGTACGCAGTATCTTAGGGCTACCATCCAACCATAAGTTTCACGGATCCCCATCACTATCTTCCGGTGACCGTCGAAACGCTCCGACAGTGTTGTCCAACCTGCGTCTGCGACGTATTGTATAAACAATCCCATGCAATCGATCCATTCTTCGAATTGCATCGTCAGTTCCTCTGGAGGGGGGTTTCCCCCGTAGACTCGTAAGGAGGAACTTCCATCTTCGATTCGCGATTCTGAAGGAGCTTTCCTACGACTCCACTCTGTCTGGTCATCGGCGAGGAAGTAGCGGTTGAAGGTTGTTAAAGGTATGTAAGATTTGAATGTTTTCAACCATTGGGTTAGGACGGGAGACAATTGTGTGAGTCCCTTTCCCATTTCCTCGGAATCGTCTGCGACCAGCAGTCGACCGTTCTCTACCACATCCCCGTTTCTCAAAACTAGGCGACCTTTCTTCGTGGCCATAAGTACCTTCACCATTTCCGCTTCTTCCTCTGCCGACATGTCGTTAGCGTCCAGCGTCTGGGTTTGACCTGCCACCCGAGTGGGTTGGGTATTGGCGACGTGATTTGTTGCCTGAGGGAGTTGGCGGGTCCATCCTGCAAGAGGAGGTTGGCGTGTTGGTGGAGGATTCCTCTGGACCGACATTGCACGAGGTGGGGAAGGGGGGGAAGGGACGTGATAACGGGGCGGCGATGGATTCCGAGGGGGGGCGTAGGATCTCGTCACTGGTTGTGACTCTTGCTGTGCGTAGTCTACCGCTTGGTGTGTTTGCTGAGTTCGCGTGCGACTGTCTCTGAAACGCTGGGCCAACGGCTGATTGCTTTCCGTGTCTGGGCTGGGCTCCTCTGCGATCAGATTGTATGGTCGAGCGTTGGGTAGTCCGCTCTTGCTTGCGATCGGCGTTTCGTAGCGTAAGCCGCTACCGCTTGCTATCGGGCGTCCGCCCACCTCAACTTGTCTCGACTGCGAGGTTGGGCCTAGGAGGTAGCTCAGCAGGGCTTCTCCTTCTGCGTAGTGTCCTGTTTCATATAGGCGGTTCACCAAGTCATTTGGGTTCTCGAACGCAGTTGTTTAATTACACACGATGTAACTGTTAGCTCCCTTTCCTCTATTTCGTCTTTTATCTGATTGCTGAACGCTGTTTCCCGCCCTGCTCCGTAGGTTTGTGGATCTCAAGGGATACGACCTTCCACCCCACTCCATAGGTTCTGTGGATTCACCCTCCCACCTCCTCTCTAGGTTCTGTGGATCGAGGGATTCTGGCACCTCTACCTCGCGGTGTCTTAGGTCTCTGCCCTGCCCCCCTTCCGGGATCATGGCTTTCCGCCTCCCATCTGGGGTCTAGGACTTGTAATCGGACGAGGCTCGTCGTGTTGATGAAGTCGGGGTGTTTCTGAGGTAGGTGAAAGTGTAGTGAAGAAGGGGGGGGGGTTTCGACAGAAGGGCGTCTTACCTGATGGTTGTCGGTAAGAGGGCTGGTCTTCGTCCTCTGACGGGGTTGGGCTTGTGTGGCTCTCTGCCCGCGCTTTCCCTTTCTCGGCTGGAGGTCTCCAGGAGTGGTCGTCTGCGTCTGAGCCGATGACAGGGCCTTGGAGCAATTGCGCGCCCGTCGGTTCGCCGTCAATCTCGTTTAGGGGTGAGCCGTCTATGTTGCCGTCCTGTGCATCGTCTTGGTCTTCATCGCTCTCGCCGATTTGTCCTAACGATTGGTGATTTAGTGTCGATTGTCGGGGGGTTGCCAGAGGTGGACCCGGGGGTTGTCCAAGGGCCACTGATCTAGACCTCGTGAGGGTGAGATCTGGTACCTGTTCTGCTGATCCGATGGGGGCTGTCGACTGTGACCTCACCGGAGGGGGACTTGGGGGTCCATCCTTTGATTCTCTAGACTCCGTGTATGCTATGGCTCATGCGGTCGCCTCTGCCACTGCTCTATCCAATTCTTGTTGATCGTTTGACATCTTGAATTTCAAAACTAGGTGTTTCCTTCGCAAAAACTGAGAATCTCACCAACGTGTGATGACTCGTGTGAGATTATTGGAAACTTGAGATGGGTTGATCTGTAGTGATCACAGTGAAAGAGGGTGAGGGAGATCGAACAGGTATCGCACGCCAAATTTTTGGCCGAGAGATTTGAAATCTCTTCGCCATGCAAACCTTTTACTACCTCACCTTTCACAGGTCGCCCTCCCAAGTTTCCATGGACGGTAGAACCACCTGTGTTATGGTGGTTCAGGTCATGCTATATTTCATTTTGTTTCTCTCTCAGGGAAGCACTGCACAGGAACCACTGAAAAAACACTGTATAGCTCACTATTACACTATGTGGTTTGCAATCAGGCAGAAAAAGAAACAAGATTGATTACAAAGCCAAAGTCTATGTGTACCTTCAAGCCTATTGGGCTGGATCATGTAGGAGAGTAGATATAGTGTTGATAGAAAATAAAAAGGAAATAAAGAAAGATCTAAACAAAAGTAGAGAAATAGTAAAAGACAAAAGATAAGAAAGATCAAACACTGGAAGCATGTTCACTTAAGCAATTTCTAGTCAGAAATTGCATTCTGCAAAATTTAGAGTGCTGGCTAACTTGACTAAGTCCCTCTCGGACAAACGTGTAGTTGAGAGAGGGACTTAGACCTTATACCACCTCTTTGGCATATGAGCCAGAAAGGTATGGCTGGGCACATTTATAATCCCCCATACCTTAGTAGGCTGTATACAAACATCTTCTGGACCAAAGAAAGGTCCTCTGCGCCTGATCATCCTACACACACATGTCTTTTCAAATCCCTCCATTGTTGCCAGGAAAGCCCTTACAACCAATATACTTGAAGAATTGGTTTTTGTGTAACATTTCAATGTGTTTGGTGTGAGCTTTTGACAGGTTGTCAGCTTTTGTCCTGATTTTCATATTTTTTGCAAACTTCACACTTGCATTGCTCTGTGGGTTTAGAATCAAATTCAAAGCAGTCTAAACATAGGTGTGTACATTAAGTGGGCGCACAGCTCATTTCTTTGGTCCCAAGGATAATTGTTTTCAGGATACAAAGATATGGTATGTTGAGAAAGTCCCCAGCCAAACTTTTCCGGCTCATACGCCAAGGAGGTGGTATAAGGTCTAAGTCCCTCTCTTGACGACTTGTTTGTCCAAGAGGGACTTAGTTAAGTTAGTAGTGCTGGGTTGGTGGAGTATGGTTCATTTTTGCATTTTAAACTTTACAGAACCCAATTTCTGCCCAGAAATTGCTTAAGTGAACACACCCCAAGACTTTTTTTCTTGAGGCTGATGAGATAGGCTTCAAGAGCCTTTTGAGCTTCTCCAAATACCCCAGCTGGTATGATGGCTTCCTTGAACCATGCTTGAGCCCCCCCCAACTGCTCCATGGTCTTAGGGGCCATTCCACCTGGGCAAGGGTTCCAAATATCCACAGCTGCCAAAAAGGTTTACTCACATGCACAGGATGTGGCAGACACCAACAAGTACTCACAAGCAAGTTGCAAAAGGACTGGACATCTTTGCTTGTGTTCCTGTGAATGGATAGAGGGAATTGAGTGGGGTTTGGTCCTTCTTAATTGGAAAATTCCCCTGAAAATAATTTGTGGGTTCAGTATCTGGTGATTTTTGGTAAAAGTGTTAGAAACTCCAAAGATATCAAATGTGTTGGTATAAGTGGGATCATTGTTCTCATCAGGTGACAGAGTTGGCTCTTGCTTTTCTGACTCATCCTTGTCTCACAGTCCATTGAGAGCGTGTTTGATGGCCAGATTGGAAGATAATTTGTGTTCAAGGTAATTGTCAACTGTAAGAGGTTTATTGCTGTGCAATAAACCTCTGGCATAGTGACAAAATAAATGTTCATTACCTCTCTACATAACTAAACAGATGATATAAACTATATACAAGAACAATAACCCTCACCTCAACACTCTAGTTTCAAGAAGTGAAATTGAAAATAAAATCATTCAAAACAAATTCTGTGTAATGACATATGTTACAGAAAACAGTCGTACTGCTGCATGTAGCAATGTTCCAAGAAAAAAGCAACAATCAGATAGGATCAAAATGGAAGCCACAGGGTTGATTAAAATGAACCCTGACAAGGTGTAACATAAGTTTGACTACACACCAGCCTAGTGATCCCTGACCAAGTGCAACATAATCTTGACAATGTTCCAGCCCTGTTATAAATCAGGGCCCGGTTTAAAATTTTACTAACAACAAAACATCAGAACCCTAACCTATTTGACAGACCGGCCAACATTGCTACAATGAGGTACTAGATAAATATCAGTTCATATTTGCAAATCAATGAAAGAATTTGCATATTTCACCAATTCAACAACAACACACATTTACCTTTCTTGTTAGAAGATCAAACTACCATTTTTCAAAATCCAACTGTGTTCAAAAACCAAACTTATTATCCACTTTGGAAACTCTTCCTTCAAAGGCTTCTCTACCAGTTTAACTTTTTGTTGTTGTTCAGATATATTTCCCTCTATCTTACTTTTTCCACTTAGGATGTTACAGATTGTTTAGCAGTTGCTATCTGACTAAAGTTCTTAGTTTTCCTCCCTTTTTTGATAAAGACTTGTTTTATCAAACCAATGCTAAAGTGGCACCCAGGATAATTTTATGTCAGTAACATATTCACCTCATCAGGTTAATTAAGTCATTGCACTTACTATAAGATGCTGGCAGCAGATTTTGTTCCGCACCATAGACAACTATAAGTAAACAATCATAATTTTATCAATTACTTACAAAGAATTGAAAAATAACTTCCCTGTAGCTTAGGAGATATCTTCCAAACTTGAAAAGATAAGTTTTGTAAGTATCATTCAGCTCAAACTACTGCATTTATTCACTCACTCAGAGGTTTGAGCTGACAGTGATGAATGGTAAAGAACTTCCCTTGGAAACAAGGGTTAAGGATAGCAAGACCAATGCATTCAGTATCAAGCACCTTGTCCTGATACTTGGTCATATATTCAATCCTTTTGTTGATGGCAATTTTGATGCTTTAGAATTCTGATGCTATGGATTTATGAGTTTTGTCAAGGGACACTTGAACCAAAAAATTGAACTTGGTGAAATACCTGAGGCTCAGATAAGTTTAGATCAAAACTTTCACTTTTGGACTGGGCAAGCCTCATGGGTCATTCATGAAGATGCAATAACATTGTAAGTAAAGGAATTGCAGATGAGTGAAGTGAAAGAAGGTTTGAAATTGATGAGGATCAAACCCTTGACTCATAGGTAACTTCTAAAGAGAAACAGACAACATACACAGCTAGGAGTTAGCAGCACACAACAAGAATAGAGAGCACATATGGCAACACATTAAAAAAGATCACACAACACAACAGACAATAAATCAAATGTGATCATACTAAGGAACACACTAGACAAATACTCAACACTATTTGCTGTCATAATAACCAAGAAGCCTTTCACACCCATTTTGAACTGGTGGCAAGTTCTCATAATGAATAATTGGAGGTTGACAGGACTCCATCATGGTGTCCGTGTAGGGTTTGCTTGTCAACAAGCGCACACCAACTCCCTTTGAGGCAGAGGGGGAAGTCATGCGCACTTGTCAACAAGCAAGCTCTACACAGACACGGTGCATGTGTGTGAAATTTGCCAACCAAGAGCCCCTCAAAAGACCCATCCCTTAAGCTAACTCATGAAGACTTGCATCATGAGGTGGGTGAAACTTTTGGTATTCTTTTTATCTTGCCCCCCACTATGACAATATGGTATGGTGGCTAGTGCCCAAAAGTCCAAAATGTCTGACCAAAATCACCTACAGCTAAGAATTGGATTTGTGGCCCTGCTCTTCTCTACTTGCAGGTTTCTATGAAGTTACTCATATCAAAGGTCAAATGTCTTACAGTAACTCCTTTTGGGGTCAAGAAGTGAGAACAATTGCAATTGGCACATATAAATATAATGGATGAAGGTTAACAAGGAGACTGAATTGACTGATCAGGCCTCTTCTAGATATATTCTAAGGTGGCAAACCCAAATAGTGTATTTGATACATTGTGCAAGTGTTAGAAAAGTTTCTGGCTGTTCTATTTGCTTTGTCCTATGTCTATTTATTTTCTAGTCATCATAATCTCTGGATATTGTGGACCTGGGGCAGCTTTTTACCTGCTCTGTAATACAAAAGCTGTCAGCCTTGTGTCACTGCTACACCATCACGGAGCCTCCATTTACACGGGAATATTCTTTTGACACTGAGATTGTGATGTCATGGAATATGCTTGGTGTACATATGTAGCAACACAGCAGCGTATGTTCACCTGACCATTTAGCGCGGCCGGGATTTTTGTATTCTTTTCCGTGCGCTGATCTTCTCAGAATGCCCGGTGACATGTGTAAATGACTGGTGATCTGATATGAAAATGAAAATGTGTGTGACAAAAAGGACACTTGTGATAAGGCAAATGACAGAGTGAGGGTAGGCAATAGAGCGGTGTTGGTATACAAATACTGAACTTCAAATGATATCAAACCGGCAGATCTGGACAAGGTTCAGAGAAGAATGCTGGATAAAACGCGGTCAAACTTTCCAAGCTAGCGGAAAATATGTTGTTGATGGGTGGAATCAAACCTGCGCACAGAGTTAACATATCTCATCACATGATTCACTTCACGCGAGCATCTTCGTCGATAAGACTCACGCGGGCTTGACCATCAACTGTATGGAAAGAAAGGGAATAGTGTCGCGGATTGACCTTGTGTGTACACTACATAATATGGCATGACAAATGACCCCACGGAATGGCATGTTGATTTAAGCAATGTTGATATATATCTTGGTTGCACCGGCTGTGTGGGATTTAGTACACCTACTCCTGTCCTGGCGCTGACAATTCGGATATAGACTCACATTATCAAACTCCAGATATTCAAGTCGTATCATTGCTTTTTTTTACTTCGCTATCTCTATCGCTATTTCAGTTGCTCTACATACGCTTATTCCTCCGAACGCGGTCAGAGAAGTTACCGGTTCCTTTGGCGGTGTCTTTAGGTCCTCGTCATGATTTCTTTTCTCCATGTCCTTCCACTGGAATCAAAGAATGATCAAGAAATTGAGAAAGAACCCATCTTGTACATACACCAAATCAAACGTTCTGACAGATCTGTAAATGCAAGATATATCACCAGATCCAACTTATCTCTATGACAGAAAGCCGCGAATCTTGATCAATCGCAACCCGCGTCAGGTGACGATATTTCGCGCACATCTTCCACGAGAGCTTGAAAGATCTTTGGAGCCCCACTCAATCAACACATCCTGAATTTTCACTGTGATCAGTGTCCTGCTTGATCGTCGGTTTGAATGCTAGGATTAGGAAACAAATGTTGCGATGGCACACCGGTTGTAAGGCCTTTGTCTGGCACGTTGGAAGCGAGATACATACATACAAGGCATATCCAGGCCTCAAAGGAATCCTTGCAGCAGACCATAGATTAAATCCTTGATGTTATTTATGTAACGCCATCTAATAGTCTTGCGATACGTGTCGGAACTCTGACAGAAAGTCTAGTGCATTCCAGATTAATTGCCAAGGGAGATGACACAGTTCGACCAAGTTCGGCACCACAACCACCGACCACAACGAACGGGTGATCCTTGAAAGGTCTTGAAGATTGATGCTGTTACTTCATACAGCCTGACTACGCCACTCGTGAGTCGTCTCCACCTGATCATAACAGAATTACGCTTGAGGCTATACCTCCGCTCTGTGACCGCGATGACGGTATGAAGAGGTTGCGGTGTTCCTACCGCAGTCTCCCACCTTTCTCCCAGCTCAGCTCGGCCTTGTTGGTGGGAGCAATGGGTGGTTAACCTTAACCTTGATGAGTCAATGTCAAGTCGTCGGGATAATGGCTCAGCCTAATGGCACGTTGTGTGGATTTTCATGGGTATGACAAACCCCCTTACAATCCGATCCATGCGTCCTTTCGCGAGGATAGGCGCGTATTCGTCGATCTAAGGCATGCTTTGGTGACTGTCATTTGGGCAAGCTCGATCCGATTCGCTGCATTCATTGAACTTCCATGTTTCTTCGCACTACCCGATACTTGACTCGAAATCTCTTCGCATCTCATATCCCAGGGTGGTCCACTGTACCTACCCACCTTTCACCTAATGAAACTCCCCTGGCTCCGTTTGTAGATCGACTTTAACATCTATAATATATGACCGCCAGAGATTTCGTATGTTAGAGACTGAAGGAAGTCTTTACGTCTAGCTTTAACCATATTTTCTTTATGACCGCGCTTTTCTCCGCTCCAAACGCGACATCCTTATTCTGTACCGCTTTCAATATCTCACCTTGCCATCTTGAAGCTCAGAACTCTTCCTCAAACTTGTGGTCTGCGTGCGTGCTCATTTTTTTCACCGGCAACAGTCTTTACTTATCTTCCCTCGTCTCTTCCTGTCAACGACTGAATTGTCTTATCACTCAACAAGTCACCTGTCTGAACATTGTAGCGGCTTCGTACATTCCCCTTCTCAACTTAAACCGTTTCTATCATGGGCCTACTGATCGCCGACGAAAAGCTGCTCAATGATCAAGAGCAATATCTCCTTGACCGAAACTCTGCAGAATCGCGACGGCTGAATGATCAGCACGAGATACTTCTTAAAGCTGCGGGTGGCTATATCCCAGTCCCATTCTCGGTTCAGGCGGACAACATCTCCGCCATACTTGATCTCGGTACTGGGAATGCTCAGTGGCTTCTCGGTTTGCGGCAGTCTGGCATCGTCGCTTCAAATGTGGAGTTGTATGGAGTGGATATTAGCGACCGTATGATGCCAAGTGTCGAAGTAGAAAAGCAATTCGGACTCACCCTGGAGGTTCGCGACCTATGCGAGCCATTTCCGTCTCATTGGAATCAAAAATTCGATCTTATTCATGGAAGACACGTTCTTATATGGATCGAACCGCGAAAATGGCCGACAGTGCTCAACAATCTGAAACAAGCTCTCAAACCGGGAGGAACATTGGTGGTAAGCCTCAATATGGAGTATTCTTTTTAATCAGCTTCAGGTTGGACCGCGTATACTTTCTTACTTGGGGTTCTTGCCTATGTCGATGACCATGCTGTCCTTTCAGATAATGTATCCGGGTGAAATCCCCTACGATGTACACACTGATGCACCCTTGGCTTGTAATTCAGCGCCAATGAAGTTATTCTCGGCTTTCATTCGGTACGTGCTCAACGTGTCTAAAGATTTTCATGTAGGGTTAATTCTTCAGCCCTTTCGATACAGATACACTGATTATGAGGGCCTCCCTCGACGAGCTGCCAGGAATCTTCCCAAACTAATGCAACAGGCTGGCTTCGATTCCAAGACCATAACATCACATACCGGTAAAATAAATCTGGGACGTGCAGAACCCGATGTCACCCTACGACCTGCGAGCTCTCGTCATTTAGACTTCGTCGTCCAAAAGACCCGAAAAATGAGCGAGCTGATGTCATTTGATGACATAGGGTGTCCATCTTACGATGACGAAGACGGTGGGTCCTGAGATCTCGTGCAAAACAAGATTCCCAGTCTTACTGATAGATGTTTCCATTTTTAGGGTGGAATGAACTCAGCGAACAATGGCGGACTGCTACAACAGTAGGGTTTTACTACGACTTGCACATAATCTCGGCCCAAAGACCGGTGGAAGATCCACCACTTAATACTTGTCCGTCGCCGACGTCAGACCTGTAATTCCTTGATGAACAATCAGACTGGCATGAAGCCGTTGACAATATCTCAGTTTAATTATTGATTTTGGGCCTTGCTTTTTTTTGTATCTTGAGTTGTTTTCTAGTTTCTTACTGGGTGTTTATATGTCTGGGTATAGGCATTTACGTGATCGGGCGTTATAAGGTTTTCTATTCGATGAATTTTCTGTGCAAGTTTACTTGAGGAAGGGCAAGCTATTTAATATACTTTTTTGTACTAATTCATCAAACGCACGAGATGAGAAGAATTTTCATTCTAAATGTGATAGATATATTATGAGGTATCGTAAGAAAGAACTCCTCTTCACAATTCTTTGCGTGTCCATCTTGATACAATCAACTTCAAGGCACGAACGCGTCTTTCCTTGAGAGCTTCTCCCCTTTTGTTTTTGACCCGTAGGGTTGTGACCCGACCCTGAGTGTGACGAGGCCACCCAAGGGGCATGTCCGGCCTCAGATAGACCCGAGTAGCGTTCAAAAACTCGCAGGGCCGACCAGGGCACACCCTGAAATTTAGGCCTCGAGGCTCGGCAGGCCCAGGCTCACAGGTAGGGCATAAAACACTCAATATAGGTGTCAAAAAACTCTCGGAGGGAGGATGTTACGTATTTCAATCAAGTTAAAACAAGTTGAAAGACTACTGAAAATGAAAAAGCTTAGACTTTACTTCAGGTATTTGTGTATATAAAAAGTTATAGAACACTCTTTCAAGGTTCAGGTATTTGTGTATATGAGAACTTATAGAATGCTCTAAGAGCCTAGTTAGCAATGAAAAACATTGTTGAGAAGTGTACTTTGAAAATAAAACGAGTCTGCTCTGATTTTCAAAAATAAAAGATTCTACTTTGACAAGAAATTATTTCAGTATTTGAGACAAACCTGATCCCCAAAGTTGGTGGGAGTGAAAGAGCCTTGGTGGTCACCCATGACTTGTAAAGCATTGGAAAATGAGCTCTTGGAAGGTGCACTTGTGTTAGGAACTGCAAGCATTGCTTTGGCCATTTGTGCCAGATTGGGCCAGTGACATTCTGCCAACCCCCAGTAAAGAAGGGGTGTGCAGACCCCATCTTCCTGAGGTGCAAGGAGATACTCCTTGACTTCAAGTTTGATTGGAATCAATTTGGGACATTTGATGTAATGCTGAGGTCGGTCAAGAGTGAAGGTTTCCTGAGGTTCAACAACCTTGACATCAGGATTGAGTGAAGCCTTGAATTTTGAGGCTTGATTGGTGAAGTAGTTGAGTATATCTTCTTTGCCCAAACCAAGCGATTCCATTGTTTGGGCTTTGACCATGGTGAGCTTGAGACAAGGATCAAGAATGGCAGCACATATGTACACCACTTTTGTCTGGGCTGCATCCTGATGATTAATAATTTTCTTTATCATTGGCATGATAGCAGCCTTGAGTTCCTTACACTTGGAATCAGCCCAGGCCTATCATGAAATCCAAATACTGCATCAGTAAGACATCATGCAGAAAAAGATAATAATCAAAATAAGAGAATGAAGATAAAATAAACAAAATTACTAACATGTTCAAGCCAATCTACAAGCCATTGATAGTCAGGCATGACAAGTGAGAATGTGGGGTATTGATGGCCTTCAATGATTTTGGTAACAGTAGCAAGAGGCAATAAAAACTGTACTAGATTTTTGACTAAGGTGCATTCTTCATAGTTAGTTTGAAGCACTCAAGTGCTGGGTTGTAGTTGAATTGATACTCCAACACAAATTGAAGCTCAACAAAACAAGCAAGAGAAGAGTGCTTTGAGGACCACCAGGTCAGGACTTCATGAACTCATCCAACTTTGCGATCTAAGGTAGCACAAATTGCAATGGCATTGTCAAGAGAGGTTTTGAGCTGGCAGGAAGATCTTCTTCTGGAAGCCTTGAATTCATGTGAGAACACTGATTACCTCAGAGGGTGAGGTAGCCTCAATAAACAGAGGAACTGAAGACAAAGTTTGTAGGATATTGGGATCAAGAGGATTGATTGGAGAATTGAAGTATGCAATCAACGGAAATAATAAAATTACAAATGTAGTTAAGAGAGGACATAAGAGAGTAGTGCTGAAAGATAAACCAAAATACATCATAAAATTGAAAGGAGAATTACATCAATAAATTGCCCCAATGTTTTATTCCCAATCTACCAATTTCAAAGTGGCCGCAAACATGACCTCCATTTCCATTACCTTAGTGTTGTTGTTTAAGCCAGAGTCCGTTGTTTTCCCTAAAATGTGTTTATTGTACACACAAATCAGCTTTGAAATTCTTTGATGAAGAAAACAGATAAAACACTTATCTTTTTGTGCAAGTCATGAAGAATTAGAAACCAAGCAACTGGACAAGCCAACAGTAGTCTGTAATGATTCCATGCAACCATTTTAAAGCGTAGCAAAACCCTACAATCATGGAAATCAGTGCTGATATTCCACACTACCAATGCTATAAAAGTGTATCAATTTCTTTGGGTTGTCCACACAGTGTGGACTAGTAAGTTATGGCTGGTATTAGCCTGTGGGATCGATCAATGTTCTCATTGTTCAGTTCAGTAAATGAAAAATGTAAAAGATAAACAAATTCACACCTTCACTTGTCGCAACACCTCTGAATGAAGAGACTTGTACTTAAACCTTTTTGGCAGTTTGTGTGGCTCAATGTTACAGCTGTTTTCAAAATTAATGTCATGGTGCGGTTTTTCATTTTCATTTTTCCTTGAAAGCCACACCAAATACAGCCAATACAGGCTTGAAAGACCGGAGCGGGGGTTCAAGATTCTATGTAAAACCCGGACCGGTTTCCATCAGGTACATACCCTTACCCATTTCCGATCCCGCCACATCGATATTTTTCTCGCTCCAACATCCACACCTCTCTTCCATCCATTTCACCTCACCTGTCGACCGATTTTCACTCCACCACACCTCCTACCCAGCCAAGCCAAGCCAGGCTCACTGGCAAGGTCTGAGGTTTGATATGCTTCACTACCCACATCCATCACAACTCTTCCCTGACACTGACTCGTATGATTTTCATTATTCCAGGATGGCTCGAGTTCGAAAGGTCCGAGGCGGAAAGTACGACGCGAGTATCAAAGTCTTAGCCATTCAGCATCTGCGTGAAGGCAAGACAATCAATCAGGTTCGAGACCTTCTGAAGTCACCAGTTACCCCACGCACAATCTCTAGATGGCACGCGCTGTACCAAAGAACGGCATCGGTTGTGCGTAATCCTGACGATTACGAGAGGTTGGGACGAAACTTAAGATTATCGGATGAGGACCGCGACTTTATGCTTGAGCTCCTGGATGGCAATCCTGGTCTATACTTAGATGAGTATCGACATTCAATCTATCGGCAGACTGGAGAATGGATATCCCTCGCAACTATCACCCGTGACCTCAAGATTCGACTGAACCTTACTCTCAAAAAGGCTTGAACTGTGCACCCCAATCAAAGTGACACAAAGAGGGCTCGATATCTACACGCAGTCGGAGCGTTGACACCCAACATGCTAGTTTTTTTAGGTAAGTCATCCAGTGACTAAGTTTGATTATACTTGATTCTACTCGAGGTGTCTCAGCTGATTTTTTTATATCCAGACGAGTGCGCCATCCAGGAACGCTTCCTCAAAAGACAGTTTGGCCGCGCCACCAAAGGACAACGAACCAAGAGAGTCCCATGGAGCCGGGCCGGCAAACGCTACTCACTTTTACCAGCCATCTTCAGGGGTGGCATCTTGGCACTCGATTGCCAAGAGGGGAGCTACTATCGTCGCGATTTCGAAGGTTTTCTCAAACATCGACTGGTAAGTGGATGTTCAAGTCCTCACCGGTTGTGGACTACCATGCTGATATGAACTGTCTGATACTGTTCGATAGTTCCCTGTCATGAATCCTTATCCCCTAGCAAATTCTGTGTTGGTCATGGATAATGCACGTATTCATAAGGGTGGCCGGATCGCGGAGCTTGCTGAAGAAAGAGGAATACGGATAATATACCTGCCCCCATACTCACCTGATCTCAACCCCATCGAGAAGGCGTTCAGCGTCCTCAAATCTTGGTTTCGACGTACCCAATGCGTCAATGTAGCCCCGAACATAGAGAAAATCGATGTCATCATGGACTCGGCTTGGAACATTTTCTCGGGTGGTCTTATGCATCGTTTATACAGCGTGTGCGGCTATTGGGTGTAGCTATGGTGCTCAAAGAGATTAGATTCCTCCTGGTGTTTCCCAAGGATCATTTAAATACTCGGTCTTGTTTCTAACCTGTCATATCTACCATCTTGTCGAACAACTTATATACTCGGTCATGTTTCTAACTGTTCTTATCTATCATCTTGTCGAACAACGGTCTTGGTTGTACCTTATCCTGTCTACAATACTGTCGAGCAAAAGTAATGAGAACATTAACTTTGGTCAAAAATGAGAGTAAACGCCAAAGACCGTTAAAGTAGGCATTGATGAACTTTCTCCAGTCATCAATGCAAAGTTATCGCACAAACAAGCAAACAACATCTCGCATTTGCCTGTGCGAGAAATCTTTTGAGAAACGTTTCTCACCTAAAGAACTCGTTTGTGAGATGGTTTAGGGCATGTCCGAGATGGTTTAGGGCTAGTCTGACCATTTGAGAAAATTTTGACATGAACAAGACAAAGAATGACTTGTTCAGTCATCCTTAAGGTTCGACACTGGATTTTTCAAACCGCACACAAAAATCTGAATTGCCAACATCATTTGGGGGATATCATTTGGGGGATATAACTAGTTATTCTACTTGTGCATGAATGACATTGACAGAGAATAAGAGACAAACAAACTGAGCCGAACATGTTTAAGCTCAATCAAACATTCAAACAACCGATTGAGCTTGGAGGGTTAAAGTTTTTGAAGTACTGGTGCATGTATGACATTGACAGTGATTAAGAGAGAAACAACGGAACAAGGCATTTTGAATTTTTAAAGCATTTGGGGGAAATCGTGGACTAAACAACTTGGGTTTTCGCTTAATTGTGTTTTCGCTTAATGACATCTATTTGAAGTTTAAGACGAAAGCGGGATACTTAGTCAGCAACGTATCTAGAAACTGTCATGAAGGAGTTACACACATGATTGCCACATTAGAGAGACTTGAGGTAGTGGTTGTATTTGGGAATCGCCTTAAAAAGGTCCTCTGCTTGAGCGAAGGGGATGCCCATCTTGTGGAAGGCCTCAATAGTGTAAGTTCCACGGTCCAGCATTCGGATAAAATCGTTTATACCTTCCTTGGCCAAACATTCACGAGTTGTGGCCATATCCAGGCCAATACCTGCAAAGATAAGGAACTTCTCAAAGTCGATTGAGGTGTCTCGAGGTGGAGGTGATAATTGCTGCGATTGTGCCACCTGGTTAGTCGCCACCTGGTGCCCGCTGTCCATGGCTCTCTCAGCATAAGGAGGGGCAGGGTTTGGGTGGGCAGGGTGCCCGTAATAGTTGTGATGAATGACAGTGGCCCCAGTCGAGCCGCCAGCGGATTGTCTTCCCGGATTCAAACCTAGCAGAGCGTTCTTCTCTTCCTCGTAATTGCTGACAGGGATCCAGCGGAAACCAGGGCGCTTCATGGGGGGATTAACCTCGTCCACACCACAAACTCCATCGGCCTGCAAACAACCAGATAATGGGGATTAGAGCCGAACTTGTAAGCAAAAGGAGTGAAGAAATGGAAAGTGAGAAGATTTTGAGGAATAACTTACCCAGTCGTTGGCCCAAGTGCGAATGCGGGCTGTGTTGAGGAGCAAACACTCCCCAGCATCCTTAGGGTTTGGAACCGAAGTGATGTTCTCACCTGCCTTGAAGTCTTTTTCAAATCGTTGCATCAATGTACGAAGATTGCGTTCACCAGGGCTAAGAATAGCAGACTAAGCAAGAGCAAAATCAGTCAATGCATTACTGGCAATGCTGGAATGATACGAAAATGACTCACTCCATCCGATGAGACCTCGGAGTCTGGGCCATTTGCGGGAGTTCCAACCCTAGAAGTCTTGAGGGTGCTAGCGAGAGATCGACGCGCTTCCTCGCTCTTCAAAGGGTTCTCGTGGACAATCCGGAAGCCCATTTTGGAGGTGGCAGGTGCAGTCAAGGTGGCTTTGTTGAAAGTTTCAAAGGAATGGTCGAAAAGAGAAGGCTTCTTGATAGGCTGTTTATCCTGAGCTTTGAAACCCTTAGAACCGTTAATGAAACCCATGATGGACAGCCCTCCTTGGGCCCAGGCCTGCTGGAGAAGTTCTGAAACTCCCGGAAGGTGTTCGTTGCAAGAGTTGAAAAGCTTGATTTTGAAAAGCGTGAAATCCATGTCTTTAGGTCGGAAGGTGATATAGGTAGGCACTTTTGGAGCGTAGTTGTTGTATTTGACCTTGGTAGGTTTGCGTGAGATCGGCCGGGAGCCACCAGGAGGACGCTTCTGCTTTTTAGGGTCCGGCTCATCCGGGCACTGAGGTTGAAAAAGATTGAAATAAATTTGAAATCTGCGTTCTTCATCGGGAAGTTCGGCAAGGATGTCGGTTGGAGTTGCAGATGTCGAGCTGTTGGTGGAACGAGCTGGGCCCCCAACACCCCTGGGTACGTTCAAATCGATAATCGGCAAGTCTAGAAATCCAAACATTCAAGATAATCAGCTTTCAATTGGGATTGAAATCGACATGGTTGCAACTCACCATCCTCGTTGTCTTGCTCATCTAATAGAGGTGGCAGTTCTAAACAGATAAAGAGTGTCAGCTGATGAGTCGAATGATTTAATAATGCAATATAAAAATCATGAGGATGATGACTCACCATCATCATCAACGACATCAAACGGATCAACCCGTCCTAGAAAAGACCAGAGCGTCAGCTGAAGAATCGCTCTTGACAAGTACATAGATAAAACTGACCTTTGCCGTTGTTTACATCAAAGAGAGGAGAGTCCGGCATGGGCGCACGTCTCTTCACAGGGGAGCTTGGCTCGCTGTTTGAGGTATCCTCAGGTCTTAAGTTATTGAACGAGGTCGAATTATACGAGGTTGAGGAACCAGCTGAGGGGGTACTAAAGAACGGGCTGATATGAGGGTTGATGCAAGATGTGGAAGAATCGGTCGTACTAGAATCAGGCGTGCCAGCAGGGGGAAGGCAGGGGGTGGCACGACGTCTCAAGAGCGCGGTCTTTTGATATGAGGGAGGTATGTAGGGTGGTGCTAAAGCAAACGGGTTGGTGTTTTGTGAAACTGGTGCTAAAGGAAACAGATGGCCATTTGGTGAAACCGTGGGTGTGCTATGCTGGCTAATTGAGTGCCAGTGGCTGGCTGGTGGTAACCTGCACCGCACCAATGGCAGAGTAAGCAACGGGGCTCATCAGCGAGAACAGAAAATGTGGAGATCACACCTGTGCGTCCCCATATTTTGATCCAGAAGAGCCTGGTGGCTCCGAGTTCGAATTGCGCGGCTCATGGTGTCAAGGCGGTTATCGGACGGGTTGCTGAAATGATGAGTAGGAAATTGATAGACACAAACATTGAAAACCAGAAAACAATAATTAGAGAAATTGAAAATGAGGACCAGTTGCTTATTCCGGCATAGAGAATAGGAAACACACACCAAGGAACCTGTGAGAGTTTTCTGTTGACCATCTTGAACAGTGGGGTTCCTTGGACAGGATGACGGATGAGCGAATTTTTAGTTTTTTTGGCTCGAGTCCGGTGGTAAGTTGAGACGCTGAGCAGCTTTTTATGGTGTTCAAGACGGCGGTCAAGTTGTGGTTGATAAAGATGTGGACCATAAGAGGTGTGAAGCGTAATCATCACATGGAGCCGAGGCGTCAAGCGATGACATTCGAGCCATGCCGTTGTGGGTTGTTTGGATCCGTGGACGAAAGGACGAGCGAATCCAGACTTCGGTATCCCAAGCGGTGGTTGAGTCGAGTGGATCAGTTGAAAGGATGACCGATATGGAGGAATTCCGACCGGCTTTGGTGACCTGACAAGGAGTTGAGGCGTTGAAAATTCATTTCGACCCATTCCGCCTTTGTTTGGTTCGGTAAAGATTGTAAGATTAGTCGTCTAGCCACACCGCCGGAGGTTGAGTCGAGTGGACATATGTTGTTTTTTGGGGTGATGAAGGAAAGGTCGTGAGACGTTCTGGTGGGTTATTGAACGGTGGGTCCAAACAAATAGACCGTCTATCGAATCGGGTCAAGGTCGAAGGCTACCCACGGGGCCCACCCGGCGCCTCTGCCCCTCACCTGTATTGGCTGTATTTGGTGTGGCTTTCGAGGAAAAATGAAAATGAAAAACCGCACCATGACATTAATTTTGAAAACAGCTGTATAACCTTATAATGGGCTATGCTTGTACTGAGATGTGTGCAGCACTCCTTAGATTACCACGCTCAGACCATACTGTTGTTCTCCATGCTACAATCTTAGTTATACTATCAGACCATCTCTGACCTCTGATACCTGTCAAGCTCATAACAGCTGGCAAGAATTGTATCCCTGCTTCAAGATCTGTGCAAAATGAAAGCACTTCTTCCTCCTGCTTCTTACCTTTTGATATCATGTGATTAGAAGCTTTGGTATAGTGAGGCAGATTTCAAGCCATGTTGAGTACAAGCGCTATGAAATCTTCCATTTCCATCACAAACAAAGCAGGACAAAAAATGTCCATTACATATTTTACACCTGCAAGCTCCGCCATAGTTTGTCTGGAACACCTGCTAGTTGGGTGATAAACATGTTTTTTACTTTTTCTGACCGGTGAGCCCGCTCGGAGCCTGTATTCCTGAGAAACAGGTGAAATTGATTGATCTTCAATCACTCAAAAGTGTAAGTTCCCAGAAAGATACAAAGGAGGTTGCAAGGTTGCAATTGGAGCATATCATCGGCTACTTCTCCGGCAATGATTTTCTTTTCAGCGGTAAGTCCCTCGCTCAAGCCTTGGGCCTTTGGCAAGGGACTTTGTTAAGTTTGCTTCTTGCGAGGAAATCTTGAAATTTCAATAGGTTTGGCCATGTATCTCATATGTATGGGTTTTTCATAGGAGTTTTTGATGTTTGTATACCCTTCTGCTTGAGATGGGTTTATGGGTTTATGGGTTTATGGGGGTAAAATGGTTACGGTTCTTTTGAAAAGAAACTCGCAGAAAAGATTGATGACATCGCAGTTCAAACGTTAGAACTTGCCTGAACGATACTCTCGATAAACAAAACTTTCATCGCGAGTTCACCTCATTTGAATCAATACGATTCGTGATAAATCATCTCGCAAAGATGTCGATGGTCGCCGATCCCAGAAATTTCGTGATCTTGTCCTGTCCTGCACAAGTTGTGACTGGGGGAGGATATCTCGTTTCTGATCGGAAATATTGTTCTACTACGATAACGACATCAGCACGATTCTATGCTTGTTATGATCAACATATATGGCACGACATTTATATAAATAAGCCCTTGAACGATGGTGTTATGCGAGTCGATGGCAACAGCGGAAGATCCAAAAATATCATCTTGTCTTTCATTTCTCCGCAATTCTTGCACGCCAAATGGTGTTATATCGCGACCTACACTCCTGGTCGTGAAAATAAAAAAGATGGTGATGTGAGCCTGACTCAAATCCCAAATATAGAATGGTTTGTGATTGAGTTTCATACTATAGATAAATTTCTTTATGCTGATTTGATTTCAATCGAACAGTCCAACAACTAGTAACAAGTATGTGGAAATCGCGGCGATTGAAACCCTGCGTGTCGCATTCGGAATACATGGAACCGATTTCTTCGATCAGGCACAACAGCGTGTTGGGAGAGGAAGATTTTTACCCGTTATCTCAATCATCCTACTTGGAGATAATGATTTCTATCGTCAGCCAAAAGGAAAGGTCGGTCTAATCCTTGTATCTCATGATTTTTGTGTACCTAGGATGATGTCTGTAAACTGACTTCTAGTTGGTTCTGATATGATCATAGGCTCATCTTCCGCGCTTCAATCCTCTAGACATCACCATCGACAAAGCTCAGATGAACGGTCTGGGTTCGTCTGAAGCTATGGTCATCACGATATGTGCGGCGATCTTGTATCGACTTGCACCTGGCCTGACAGTCAATATGCCAGCAGGTCGAATGCCAATGTCAATGCGTCAACTGATTCATAATTTAGCACAACATGTGCACTGCACAATAGAAGGTAAAATAGATACTGGTGTCAAAATCAGCGCTTCTTCATGGGGCACGCAGGTCTATCGTCGCTTGAGCGAAAAATGTCTAGAGGCTTCATTCAAGCCAGCTGTGGCCAAGGTAATTTCGCAGCCTGAGCCATTATCTACCTGCAAGATTAGAATACACTCTAATCACGATCAATCTTCGAATCCGCAGGGCTCTCTGCAAGCGCTTCTTGGACACGTTCATCATGATGGAGATTATTGGCACGACGAGGACGAAGCTCCGCGTGTCAAACCAGTACCTGTACCCCCTATGACAACGATGTTGTTTGCGTCGATTGAGGATCCTGATCGGGTACCTGTCCTGGCTCAAAAAGTGATCGATTTTAGAAAATCTAACCCCACTAAGGGTACGTACACACTATTTCATATATTGGTGGTTTTATCCGACTGATGCTGAACAGTGTCCATTCAGCCAATCCCTTGTGGGACAGTCTCTGGGACTTGGAGGATAGAGTAGCGAGTATATATGTTGCTTTGTACTTTAAACACATGCACCAGCCAACAGACTATAAGGGGAGTCTCCTGAAGATGAGTAAACAGACACTCGAGCGCACGGTCAGTATATTTATCAACAACTCACACTACATTGATGATCTTGACTTAATGGACTCGTACACTACCGTTGTCATTTAGAATATCACATCTAGACCAATTTCTGATAGTGACACTGTGCAGGAGCTTTTTGAAAACCTCGGAGCAACTATGAAAGTGAGTAGATAGCATATGTTGGGTTTTTTAATACGTTGTTGCTTATTCACTGTGTTTTGGGTATACGATGTTTCACACAACAGGAAATTCGAACGATTCAGCGCAAGATGACTGAGATGACTGGGATGCCGATAGAGCCGCCCGTTCAGACCGAGCTACTTGACGCATCTGAAAAGTTACCTGGTGTGATAGGCGCTGGTATACCGGGAGGTGAGTCATTTGAAGTGATCTCTGTGTCGAATCTTTACTGACGCCTACTAAATCTGATGATGATAGTCGGTGGGCACGATGCGATTCATGTACTTGTCTTTTCACCGCAAGAAAAGGTCAATGATCAAATTTATAAACTATGGGGAAAATGGACAAAGTCAACCATTCGTCCTCTCTCGGAAGTTGGCAGATGGGATGGTGTTGAAGCAACTCCAACTGCGAGTTTGATTGTTCAGAGTATGTCAGATGTTAAAGTGATTCAAAAGATTGTACAAGGACAATGTCGTATGAGCACTCGCGCTGCGATAAGCTTCAAGTCGCCAACCTCATCGGCTTCATCGGCTTCGCCCGCTGCTAGGACGACTACTCGACGAAGAAACAGATAGATTTGATGTTGCGATTGTTAGTTTATATTACTGAACTTTGTATCCAAATAGTGTCCATTTATTTCTTGCTTATTGAATAGCAATATTGGTTTTGTGATAAACAGCTTGTGGTTATCATGACTTACACAGCATCTCTGTAGTCGATCGAAGCGCCTCTCCGCTGTTACCCTCCATAGGTCGTGAGGTCCATACTTACTCACTCTTACTCTTACTCAAACCTTATTCATTCAGCAGGTAGCAAGTAAATTGACACTGATCAAACTGATAAACTTCATGAGAGCTTCTGATATCTAAAGGGATCAGCCTTCCTCCGTGAAGCATCTCGACCTCTTCAACTGAGGACTCAAGATCCCACTTAGTTTGGTCAATCAGTCATGATTGTTTCTTAGTATCAGGTTCCTACTCATGTTTAACGTAACAATTTCGTTGATCCGTGTCACTAAGACCATGGCGAGGATAGCCCTGCATTCTGGATTACGCTCGCCGTTACAAGATGTTGTTGGTCACTTAGACTCTTATCGCAACAGACACTTTTGTGTTTTTGTGTTTACCCATGTCAGCCTTCTCCGACTGGGGCGATAATTGAGCGAGAACTGAAAAGGTGTTGATGACAGTGGGGATGTAGAAAGTTTTGCATGATGAAAGCTCAGGCGGTTAAACAAGGAACGTTTTGTTGATTTGAACCTTCTACAACATATCTCGTTCAGGTCAGTTCAGGTCAGAAGCTTGACCTACTATAAAGTCTTTCCAACGATCACTCAATCTCATATTTTCTCCCTCACACCTACCCTTTTTTGATTAAGCATCTGACCAAGCTTCGAAAGAACCAACCCCTATAGCTCATTTTCCGTTTGCTTCTATCCCCAATATCTTCCTTCCAACTAAGCTTCATCGCGTCAAACCCCACATCTCCTTAGAACCTTAAACGTAACAATGGCCTCTAAGATTTCAACAATGCAAAAAGACGTCGGTCGAGTGAGCCCTGACAATAACCATTCATCAACAACTGGACAAGTAAGTTGTTTGCATTTTCTCGCCTTTTGATGTAAGCTGATTCATGAGGTATCACTAGGTCCATAATTATCCGATCAACAAAAGTATCGAGATAATCCGCTCCCACCATCGTGTAAGTCTCAAGATTCGCTCACTCTCGTCTACTTTTATGACTTGTGATGTTTACAAGTTTTGTTCGTAGTCGTTAGAATGCCCCCGATCCAAGCTAGCGACGCAGAGACCGCAGCTCTGGTGTTCTTCTTCGCACAGCCGCGCCTCCCAGGAAGGAAACGATTTGAGCGTCCGCTCAGGAAAGGTGAATAAACCTTTCAAAACCTTTTGAAGATACGCTCTGTTCATCCTTGCGTTTTTCTTCGGCCTTAGCAAAAGCAATCGGATTCTCCATCTGGAACTCTCGTGAGCCCTGAAGGCTCTGATCCTGAAATCTCTGACGATGAGATCGACATCGATGATCTATATGAGATGGTCAGTCTATCATTCTCCTTACCGCTGCAGTATAGTGATTAATTACTATATCTCTCCGTGGGTGTTGGGTACTGGATGACTGTAGTGTGTTTCAGAGGATTGGGGGAACTTGGACGGAGGTCTGACGGCTTCTACTGCGTCAAGCGTAAGTATCATTCGATTCCTCTCAACAGTGTGATGCACTTGAGATTGATTGAAATTTCCTCTTGATTTAGTTGCACAAAACTAACACATTGATGCGCAAGCTAGAATCGCCAGCCCGTCACGTGTCGGATTCTGATGACGAGACTTTCTCAGATCTCTTTGAGAAAGAAAGCGCCACGTGTTCTGAAACGACGACGTCTACTTCCTCTGGGCGTTCACCAACCTCAAAGTTGTCGTCGAAAAACATCCATGGAGTCGCCAGCAACAAAGCCAATTTGTTTACTGATCGGTTTTGTCCGGGTATCATTGATGATTTGGAAACCGAAGAGGACTCCGAAGAAGAAGAAAGCTTCGAGGATCAAGAGGAAGATAATACGGATCCCTTCGGTCTTCTTCCGCTAATCCAACAAGACCATATTTTTCTTGAGAAAGTGGAGGCACCATCGTCTTCGGACAAAGCTCGGTCAATAACAAAAACAAAAGAAAACCCCGCATGGCCTGCAAGTAGCAGCACTTCTTTGACCAGGGAAAGCTTGCAGGACAAGGCGGGAGCTTGGGCGAGGCCTTTTGGCTACCGATACAAGGCAGAAAGGACGATTTTAACGTTAGAGGCTCAGACTTTGAAGTTAAAGCAGTTGGCCAGATATTCACACCTGCGTAGTCAGATATGGAAGAGGCCAAGAGAGGGGACAACTGAATTAATTACGATTCCCGAAAGCTTCTCGGAATGACTATCGTCTTTCACACGGTTGTAAATGGTTTTCAGAACTTTTCTTGTAGTTGAGAGCCTTATTTTGAGATATCTCGTTTGGCCTTCGTTCCTTTAATTACTTAGCGGATCTTGTATTAGTGTCTCGTCATAGTATTGTATTCTAACAAAACTGAAGTGATGAAATTTATATGTCAAGGTGCAATCTTGCGCCATCATGTAGCAATTATACCTCGAGAGAACCAAACTTCTCGCGTATCTCTTTTCATAATACTCCACTTCCGTTTATTCCGTCTTGGGTCTTTATTACATTTATCTTTGTCTTTGTCTTCTGACTCTCACAAAGCAATTCTTTCTCGCGCAACAAACCAGGATGCGACCAATGAAACATATTGTATAAATATCTTGTACTTCATTACAGGAGTATGGTTGGTGACAGCAAGACGCATGAAACCTTGAACCGGGTATTTTGTACAACAACAATAAAAAATTTATAATAGCTGAGAAAAACTAGACTTTTAAAATGTGTTCCGCTGAGAACAATTTTGAATAGACCTTGATGAGACAACCTCAAGATTATCTCGATTTGTTATCTAAATGATTTCTTGCAACCTGTGGAACAATTCTTGAAAAAATATCCAATTAATTGTGGTTCTTGCTGTCAGTCATTGTGCCAAACAGGTAAGAAAAAGTCTCTAAATGTTGAAAAAAATCAAGGATTGCTTTTGAAAACAGTAATGACTGCAGCATTCAGAAAGTGGAGCACACAGCTCTTTCATTTACAGTGCGTCTAAGTAGGAAAGGGAAAAATGAGTAAGGAAGGGAATAAAGGGAAATTCATTGATGAAGACAGCAATCAAGGTGCTGATAGATGCTCAAACACAGAACATCTATTTTGTAAAATCAATGTCAGTCCAAAACACCAACAGGGTAACTTTATTTTTCTTGTCCTGACAATTTGAAGAAGACTGAGAAGTCATCAGACATCCCGAATGGGTGTTAAAGCAGTCTACTGGTGTATGTGCCACTCCTCATATTGAGAATTTTCTGGTGCACCCTTTGGAGCGCCAAACGTGCCATGCCCACCACCTGGATTGAGGTATGTAGGCTCTTTTGGGTGGGACAAATGGCTATGGGTTTTCATAGGTTTTGATGTGTAATACATAATAGAAGTAATTTTCAACAACAAGCAAACTTTTTGAGAATGGCTGTAACTTGACAACTTATGTCACTTTTGTCTACCATTTGCCCAAGAATTAAATTGAGCCAAAATTCTGACATTTTCCAATACAAACCGTTTAATAACAATGATAAATTCAACCTGTTTTAATGACACAAAAATAAGTAAAATCTAAGGCCAAATCCCAAGATTTTTGGCACAAACCACAAGAGGAGCTTTCCTGGTTCCTGGAAGGGTTCACTTGAGTATATAATTTGGTTCATTCTTTGAAAAGCAATGCATGACAGTGATCAAGCGGTAATTGGTATGACATATGTGAACTGATCAAATCCTACTCTGCTTGCTGGTGTGAGCTGCAAAATAGACCTTGACAAATACAATGTCTACATAGAGAACGTTCTTCACTTGATTCTCTTATCAATGTAAAGCTTGAGGGGAGGGTGGTTTATGTTGGGCATCAAGTCTTCATCAATGAGAATTTCACCCAAAGGTGATGTCTCATTTGTTCATGTGGAGATGAAAGGATTGTCTTAATAAATCTTATCAAAATTGGGTTATAATGTATACCACGGGCACTGTGCTCTAAATATCAAATCAAGGCAAATATTTGGGGTAGACTATGGTGCTGAGATGGTTCTAACCTCTAGGAGACAAAGATCCTGTGGATAAAAGAAGTAACACAGGTTTGAACACAAGATATCAATCAGAATAGATGTGCTGATATCATCTGGCTGCTTTCTACAGTCAACCCCACACAATTGCATACCTGCGCAGCTGCATAATTTGTGATAATGCATAGAAAGATGTCTTAATCTTGATGTTTTTTACTTCCAAGTTGAAAATTGAATTGCATAACCAGTCAAAATGCATAGCAAAAGTCTTCCACCCAAATTATGTGATTGCACAGCTTTGACTGTATTTCCTATGATCCTTGAGGTAAAAATAATGATGCAGAATAAATAGTGTGCACACAAGGAATAACTCATGACCGGAAAATATAAATGTGGTACAAAGATTAATTTAGTCCTGACTGACCACTCCGCCTGTCAGAAAGGTCATAAGCCAAGTTTAATGGTTCTTTGCACATATTTTCTATGTACTTCACTACATGCCTTTTGATAAATCTCTTTGTTCATATTTAAAAAACATATGCACTATTATAGTGCTAGTGATACAATATCACAGCAAGTGTTAGTGACCATTACACACCACTACATACAATCCATACCAGGTGTCTGCAGATAGTGGTGTGTATTGGTTCTTTAAGATAGTGGTGCACCACATCACTACTGAGGACCCGTCATATAGCTGTGCATAGTGAAGTGATTTTGACCTTGGGTCAAATCCAATGACATTTTCCTCCTGGGTCAAAGGTCTCATATTTATACCTTTGACTCACAGTCTGCCAACTTGTGGTTTACCACAGGCGCTTTTGTTTGTAGGTCTTAGCCTTTTAGTGCATCACAAGCTCTCGTTCATTACGGATTGGGTCAGCTTGTGATCCTTGGTTGAGATTCTAGGTGGAGAGTTTTTTGGGGTTCTCTTTGCTCTTACAACTACTTATTACGTCTTTGTTCACTTTTAGGACAGTTGAGTAGTTTTCTTCCTATTGTTTGTTGGGTTTCTTACCGTGGATGTTTGAGTAGTCTTGTACTACTTCTCGTTTGTGGTAATCTAGCAATTTATAGATTCCATGAGTCTTCTTTGTATCTTGTATGCTGTTTTGTGCAATGTAGGTCTTTGAAACTAGACCAATAAGTTGTGTTTATATTTTGTATTTTTATTTATATCTATATATATATTTATGTTAATTAATTAGTTTGTGTACTTGAAGTACCTTTGGTTCTTTTGTAGATAGACTTGGGGGCTGACACATACCAAGTGTTGAGCGGATTTTCTGGCCTTGCATGCTCTTGTCAATACCTAATGAGAAAGAGAACATAACATAACATAATATGAGAGTATACTCTGCATAGAGAAGGCAACACATGGATATGAAAAATAGCTTCCAAGAGAAGATAACAGTGACTGGAGGCTGGCCAAAGTGTTCAATACTTTGAGGGAAAATGAATGTGGTCCATTGTGGTTGTTTGCCAACACAATGCTGCCAAGATTAACTTAACTTGGTCTTGGTAATTATCTTGGAAAGAAATCATTTGCACAATTTTATGTGGATAGGTTTTGATCAGTTGAAGATTCAGACAAAGCCTACAGATCAAGCAATGAATGTTAAATATATGAAGCAAAATATATGAAGAAGATAAAATTGACTAGAGATATTCACTGGATAAACAAATGGTGATGAGCCCAAACATTTCACTCAAAAATTTGTCATTCATGGACAATGATGAAAATGTTGCTTTTGAGATAGTTTGAGGTGTTGACTAAGAAGGCAGTATGGTATATGTGGGGCAATCAGAATAGAGCTGGTGAGAAAAGAAGACTATATTTCAAAAATGATTTACTGGCCAAACATTTCAAAGGGGTATAACTTGAGCACAATGTGAGAAAGTAAGCTAATGTGGATATTTCAACAAGGTGGTAAATTTGAAAGTGTTCCCAGAGCTTGCAGAGTTAAGCAATAGTCCATTTGGTCAAAGCTATGAGTACATATAGGGCTGGGCTCACTTGTGAAAGGCAAGGACTTGACTGTCACAGGACACATTGAGCACAAGGATGTACAGAGAGATAGTCAAAGTTGAGCTTTCAGACTCTGCTTGACCACATCCTCTTTCCCTATTGTGCACTTGCAGGTTTTCACAAGTATCATTCTTGAGATCCCTTAATTTTTCAGAACCTACCCACCACCAGGGGTAGAGAAGTCCAAACTGGTTTGTGCTGTTTGTGTCCCAAGGGGTAAAGAATGGTGGTTTGAAAACCCAACTTACGGGTTTCTTTACCCTTTTAGACCATCCCCAAACCGCACAAGTGTGGGATTCTGAGTCCTAGGAAATGGATTGGTAGTCTACATGTGTTAGGAGAAGCCCAGAAGCTTAGAGATTTGTATGCAAGTATAGGCTGAGAGGACACTACATACATTGAAATAATAAGATCAATTAATGTGGCATGACTTGAGTTGTAACACGTCAGAACGCAGAATGGAGGTTTGAATTTTGTGTTGAGGATGATGTATTTGGGGAGGAATGACTTCACACAAGGACACAGCCATAGTGATCAGAGTGTGTCACTTAGCATCATTGGCATAAGAAAATTGAAATGAATTTAAATGAATCTTCTACAGCATCTATCAACCTTTTCTGGTTGCAGTCAATGTTTTTTTGTAAGTCTTCTTGATTGAGCTTTGGAGTGTTGAGATGAGATTAGATCATGTGCTAGAATTATGAAAAGACTCAGCCAAGATTAGCTCAAAGACTGGGATATTGTCCTTGCCCCTGAAGAGTGAAACATGCTGCCTTCCTGAGAAGCGGTTGGGGTGCTATAAAGGACAGAGCGGCGCTATCATCTTGACAACGCTTCTGGATGTGTGCTGGATTTGATTGTTGTTGCAGGGTGTCATGATACATACATGTCTAATCCGCGCCTCGCGGAGCAGGTCACATTTGACAATGAGCAATGTGGTGAATTCATAGATCACATTGCAAGGGGCCATTAGCCTCGTGCTCGTGAGCTCTGAAAGCAGGATAAATGGTCTGATTCAGATGATCTAAGCCGTTAGTGTTGCCGTATTCATGTTTACTCGCAAATTCAGTAGAGGGATTAGGTCCATGCCTGTGCGTTGCTCTGCAAGCTGTGATCATGTATATTCTGTATAATTGGGTTGAGGTGGTGTCAACCCAACAAATGGAAAGATACATGGCATGCTCATGGACGAGCAGTCCAAAGGGTGGACATCCAACAATTGAAGCTACAAAAAACATGCTAGCTCTTAATTTAGAAACAGATGACAATGCTTCTCAACTTGGGGCAAATTGTTTGAGGTGTACCCAGAGTATGATAGTGATCTCAAAGAAGACACTAAAGTTTGTGTCTCGATATTATTCAAAGATTTACTAATGCTAAATAACTGATTAGGCAGACCACGGATATTCAGAGGAACATTACATGAAAACTTTTGATCGAACAACAAGGATCAATTGGGT